AATCTTTAGTATACTACTCTGTGTTCAACGCACATGCATATACAATTGAATTATATTAGTGTTATTTTTATTGGGCTAGTTTTCCAAAAAGAAAACAGGCTCATGTTTTTAAAACTTCAAGTTACATCATTTAAAATCATTTTTGTAAAAATATTAGAAATACCATATAAATCCTAAATATCTCTGCTATCTGACTGATAGCCATTCTAGAGGTGGGTTTCAGTCACACTCAAGCGACCCCTGTTTTATTAATAGCATCTCGGCTTTTAGAGGAAACACATGTTAAGCTTTGTTCCCTGTGTTGTAATCCTGTTTTTGCAGTAGTCCTTGCAAGAACCACTAGAATCAGGGTTCGATTACCTTACAGGAAACTCAGTAGATCATCTTCAAATATGACATAAACATCTGCGTTAAGATGTAGCTACAGGCAGAAATCTAAACCTTGAGGAATTTCTACTCAGGCTGCTGTGACTGGCTTGAAATGGTTTAGACTTGTGATGCTGAAAAGAAAGAACAAACATTTTGTCAATCTACAGGTTCCCTTTCTTTGTTCTCTTTTGCAAGTCAAGACCACAGTATGGCATTTCCGTGCCACCACCAGATGATTTCAAACTGATGTGTCACAGAGAATCCGAGGAGGGCTCAAGGAACTGTCCAGTCCAGAGCGAGAGCCATCTCCATAGATTATCATAAGATGTTTCATTCCCTGGGAATAGAGTTTCAAAGGCTTTTTCTGTCACAAAGAGCAGGCTTTGAGGTACATCAGAGTGGAAATGTGCATCAAAAAAATGATGTGAAGGCTCCTTTATTTTTATTCATTAAACTGGGCCCCAATCTTTATGTGAGAAAACCTAATTCATCTTGATGCCTGAATGCCTCAAGCATTCCCTCCCCGGTTATCCAGCTACAAATGCCAAAGTCTTCTTTTTCTTGTGCCGCATTTTGTAGAGCCCTAAACGAAGTCTTCAGCCCTGAGTGCCCCTTTTAGTCCTGTATTTGCAATTCCTGAGACCTGACTAAGGCCAGAGGTCTCTTAACTGTATAACTGGGGGTGGACCAGCAAGAAGCCCTCGCAGCTAACTCTCCAGCAATCCACCACAAGTGGACGGATAGATAATCCCAAACATTCCTTCTCTTAGAAAGTGTATTGACTTGGGGATGTTTATTTTTCGTGCAGAACTTATTCTCTGCCCGATTCTTATGATGGCAGTTAACGGTCTAATTATGGTAAATCAGCAGGAATTATAATAAAGCATCCTAAATTTGACAAATCTAGCCAAACATCATAAAACTTTAATGATCTGTTATTTTAGATGAGAGGCTGGCAGCAACTGCTAATTTTAAAGGATTAACAACATATAAAATTGGGCAATGGGTTTTCCCATACGACAAGTAATCAGAGTGGGATGAACCCATTCATCTCCTAGCATAAAACTGTGCCCGAGATGGTGCGGTGGCAGTAAACATGGACTAGGATGTGGTGGCCAAGCTTCCAGTTATCTCAACAATAGAGTGCCTCTAGCCACTCGATAGAAACTCCTGTTGAAAGAGATTTATTAGCCATATAAATTTTCCATACCACAAGAGTTTTCACCTATTTGTAAACTTAAAATACAGCTGACATCGCTAATAAATCAAGTTTATAACAGTAAGTTTTTCACTCCCTCTGGAGCATTTCTGGCTCAGCACGTACAGTTACTGTGGCTTTGCAGAAAAACTAAACAAAACAGGCCAACTTGGAACAAAAGAAAAAAATGGAAATTTTGGTCTGAGAGAAATGAAGCTTGGGGGCGGGTCGCTAATGAAACCTGTTGCAGGTACTTGTCTCATTCTCCTTCTAGCTCCTTCATAGCAGATATAGTAAATGGTGTCCAGGGCACAGACAATGGACCGAAATGAATGAACACAGAAGTCAAGACAAATAAAAAAACCAAACGCTACCTGGAACGGATTAAAGATGGGCTCCAAATCCTGATACACCTTCCATCAAATGGTAAGGTATTTCCTCTCCCCTTGCATCTGGGCTGATCGGTGATTTCTTTGACCAACAGTGTATGGCAGTGAGTCTATGATACCTGTGGGCCTGACCTTTAAGAGGACTGGCACCTTCTACCCAGCCCCTTGCAGGCCTGAGCTGCCATTGTTAATAAGTCTGACTGCCCTGATGAAGAGACCACATAGAGAGTCCCTGAGACACCAGAGAGGGAGAGGAGGCCAGCTGCGCCCACCCAGTATGCTAGCCCTCCCTGCTAAGGCATGGGGGTGAGACCGTCTTGGACACCCCAGACCAGTCCAACCATCTGCTGAATAAATACTACCAAGTGACCTGAGTCGTCACCAGGGAGGGAGAAAGAGAATTGCCTAGATGAGCCCTCCTGAATTTCTGATCCACAACATCACAAGCTACATAAAACAGCTGTGTGAAGTCGCTAAGGTTTAGGTAGCCTGTACCCAGCAGCACATAACTGGAATACTACTTTTCAGTTTTTGTCATGGTCGTAACTCATTCTCTCATCCACCATTACATCACACAGGTGACTCCTCTCAATCAGTGGGCAATGTCCCCAGCAAATAGTCACCATTCACGTCTACTCAGAGATCAACTGCATGAGCTTCGAAGAAACCTTCCGACCACTTATTCTTGAATTAATACAATAGTTCACCATAAGCAGTACTGTTACTAGCTATTGTATATTCCAGTCCACCCCAACTCTTTATCAATAAACACAGTCAGTATGATGCAGGGGAGACAGTCTGGGCTTTGGAATCAGGCTGGTAAATCTTGGCTGTGAAATGTATCCACTGTGTAACCTTGGGCTCATTGGTTTCCTCATCTATATGGGGTATAATTAGAACTATTAAAGGCAACACAGCCTATAGAGTCAACTCTCGTGTGAAGCCGCCGGGGTCCACCTCTCCGTTTCTTCCTCTCTAAAGTGAGGATCATAACAGTATCTACCCTCATGGGATTGTCACAGATGAGTTGACCACCATGAAGCACGTAGAACTGTGGCTGGCTCACAGTAAGCAGTCAAAGTCAGCTACTTTTAGTTCTGTTACCACTGCATAGGACTTTCAGGATTAACGGTGATTATGTCACTAAAGCATTCGGTACAGTTAATTCTGTCCCCTTCTTTTTGATCTTTTATTTCTAGTGAAAAGTGCAGGCTTTTCAAAAGCATACATCCAGACTCCAACCAAGTGGGCTGAGGACTCTCAAGTACAGGAAGCCACATCTAAACTACATCTAAAGTCACTTTTGTTATACGAATTCCAAGCACATTGTTCGGTACCAAAAAGTACTTAATATTTACTGAATGGAGCAGGTTCCCCAGTATGCTACCTACCACTTAAGGTAAGTGACTTCACAGAAGAGACACATTTTCCCATGAGATATTTGACTTTTGGCATTATGGATTAATTCAGATTCTAAGATTCACAGTGTATTAAATTGTGCTGTTGGCCACATGCGATGCTGTATAGAATAACTCTCCTAACTAAATGGTGAATTCCAGCTTCTTCAACAGGACTTACTGAGTAGACATGAAAGAAGCAAGCCTTAGAAAAGTTTGTTGTTTTTTTTTTTTCATAATTGTTCATAATTGTTGTTTAAAACTTCCACGCTTTGAGCTAGTGGGCTGTGTTAAGATGGGAGGTATTTCTTATATAGATAATGGGAAAGATGTGTGATAAGAAATTTGCCTTCTGAGTCACTGTTGTCCCTCAAAGTTGAGGGAAAACATAGTCTGCCTACACAATACAACTGGGGAGCCTGTACAGACAGCATCCAGGTTTTGATATCATTCTTCCTATTAACTATACCCTTTGGAATGAAACTAAGTCAGGTGTTTCAAAGCACTCGTAACATCCAACTTTGGCTTGTCTTAGGCAAGAAACTCGACTTACTGCAAAGTAAAAAGACTGGCCCTGGGGAAAGCACCAATTAAGAAGAAGAAGATTGAAAACAGCGAAAGAGACTAGAAAGCAAAGAATACAAAACATAAGACTGATAATTCACAAAGAAGCCATGCTTGGCAAACTCCATTGTTTCCAGCAGATTCCTATTTAAATGACATCTACCACCAAGGCCTCAAAGAGAGCTGGGTGCAGATGACACACTGAGCCATTTCCCAAGTGCTATGTCCTGGAATAATCAGAAAAGCAACATTCCAAAATCTCAAGGACCCGCTATGACTATAAGTAGAAAGGTTCTAAGACAAGGTGGAGCTAATCTAGGTGGATATTCTGGAACCTTACAGATGAAGATTATTCATTACTAAGAGAGTATATTATATAAAACTTCCTAATATCCAATGTAGGTAGTGAAGAGGTGCCCTAGGGGAGGCTAGGTCACTCATCCAAACTGTGTGTGTGCTGTAGAGCTTACCACAAATGAGAATCGAACTCACTGGATTGTATTAGCATGGCCTCCGAGCACTTTTTTCAGATAACTAAACCGAATTCAAAGAAGACCATGTATTGTTTCCAAATGGGGAACAAATATATCCTCTTTTTGCAAAGAATTGTTTATTATTATCCTAACATTTCCCATTTTTTCCACATCTAGCATGAATAAGCAATTTGAACGGTAAGAATGAACATTCACAAAGCAAATATATATGGCCCAATATATGTTTAGAAGAATTACAGACAGCAACAGAAATTGGAAGATAGGGCTCAGAAGAATCTGAAATCCTCAGATGTTTCCTAATGTTTTAGAACAGTCATTAGACAAAGAAAAGGGTGACGTGGCTTTTTAATATTCCATGTGGAACAGAATGAGTTTACTTGGGGCAATTAAAATGAAGACTTACAGGACAAGCAAAAGTTAGAGGTTTCTAATCTAGAGAAACAGTACTTTGGATAAGAATCAAACCACTTATTCATAACAGAAATAAAAATTTAATACTAGTGGGAATAAATTCATTCTTGCCATCATTATGCAAACCAGTTCAAGTGAACTCAGAGGAATGGCAAAACTTACTTATAAAAACATTATGTTTTTTACAGTAATTTATGTAAACATGGTACTCATTTAACCTTACATCATTGTGCATGGAAATTATTTTTAAAAATTACTTTGTTGTATCTGTAACTACCACCCTAGACTTGAATCTACCTGCACCTCAAAGGCAAGGTCAAATCATAAGGCCTATTCTAAATGCTTTTAAGCAATGGGAATCATCAAGGAACTTAGGGTTGTGAGAAAAGGAACTAGAGAAAGATGGCAAACTCTGTCAAGACACTGACCATATGGCGATATGAACTGAAAACCTTTTAAAATTTATGAATATATAAAGGCAAAATGGCGGGATTGACAAATTTTGGGGGTAATTCCTCCAAACCTAATTCTGAAGCTGGCAAATTCTTCTGTCAAGTGTCAGATAGTAAATACTGTATTTTTGGCTTTGCAGGCCATGTGGTCTCTGTCACAAGTCTCAACTTTGCTATTAGAGTAGAAAGCCACATGCAATACCTCAATGGGTAAGTGGAACCCGATTCCACTATCACTTCCTTTACACAAACAGGTGGCCTCAGGATTTGGCCGGGAGACTGCAGTTGGCGGAACCTGACCTAATTCATAAATCCTAGAATATACTTTGCTAAGGGGCACCATCTCAAATTTAGGGATTTACCTGACTGAATTGCTTCTTGTCCCTTTTCTAAATCTCAGCACACAAAATACTTCAATATTTTGCACTCTTTCCCATATGGCATAAGAGCTCTGTTTTCAAAGACTAAGTTCAATAAAATGTATCTGTCAGTCCTTGAAGAAGTTAAGTAACAGATAAGGAGAAGAATGTTTGAGGAGGAAGAAAACGATGTCTGGTATCTGAAAGAAAAACAACTTCCAGGATTCCAACTCTTTCCTGATTAAATGCCTTTCCACTATAATTAAGAAGACTTCTGTCTTTGTTCAATTTACTTTCCTTTCCATTACCCACTATTTCCATTTCTTTAAGTTAGATCTTCTAGTAAAAAAAAATAGTTTTTAACAGTCAAAAGAAACAAAGTTAGTGTCAAGTAACAGCTAAAACTTTTTAAAAGTTATTTCTGACCAAAGACTATTCAGCTATTAAGGATGAATTTCATTATTTCACTCTTCCGCCAGACCACTTCCAACCAAGGCCAAATTTTAACTATGAAGTTAGGAGGAAAATGGTTTCTTTCTATTGTCATACCATCTTTGGAAAACCTTGTTTCACTGATGAAGAGGGAACAGGAAACATTAAAACAAAACAAAGCAAAACAAAACAAGAAGGCTGCTTTAACTGCTATCTCCCTTCTTCTCCAATCTCTATCCTATAATAACTAGTTTATTTTCCATATTCAAGATTTAACTCTCTGGTCCAATGAGATGGCTTGGGGGTAGTTTGCATCTTACATAAAATAAAACTTACATAAAAGCTCAGTTCAGAGGTAAATATGGTTCCGAGTAAAGAGAGAACAGGTCATCAGAAAGAGCCTTTGTGCCTATGTAGTGTTGCTGTTGGTGCCAGTGCTGTGTTATACTGGTCCGAGAGTTCCGAGAGAATAAAAGGTGCCCCCTGGAATGAAGGTAGACCGACACATGGCCATCTCTCTTCTTTTGCTGAGAACATTGGGTAGCTCCTTCGCTATGAAAGGCCACTCAATGGATGAAAACAGTCCCAGTGTTCGCTATTTCACGGCATTAAAGTACTTGGCGATGATTTAGCTCTCATTGCTAATGCAGTTCCCTTCACAAGGTGACACGTGCAAGTTAAGATTTGGTAATGAGGTTTCAGCATTAGCTAAAGTCCATTTAGTGCACCCTTAAGGGAGGTATCCTCTGTGCACACAACAATACAGCTATTCACTAATGTAGATAGAAGACTAGTAACTCCTATGACCCTACAGTGATGTTAGCTAAGAACTCGTACATGTCACAGTGAAGCTACAGAAGAATCTTGGATAGTTATTTAGAATAATAATATCTCTTCTAACTAAAATGGGAAAATTGCCTTCAGAAACTTGAATTTGTTTAAAAGCTGGCCTGGCTTGAATTTTCATAATCTCATGGTTCTGAGCTACACCGATTAGGAGGAGAGAACCAGCAAACACGATAGTGCTAACGTGGTCCTAGATGACCGAGAAGCACTCTATTCACAGTATCAATGCAGCAAAAGCTATTAGAAGTGAATGAAAAGGGAGGGGGACCCTAGCAAACTCTCGTAGCATTTCCACATCCATTAGACGGTCCCTACTTCATTTAAAGTGTTTGTTGCTAACCCTGGCTGGAGTATTTTGCATCAGGCTGCAAAGTTCGTCTTTACAGAAATTACTGCACTTCACCTTTACAATTTGGTAATTGTTTAAGAAGCTCTATTTTCTTACATAAAACCTAAGAAACAAACTAACAAAGCAATAAAGAACTTTCCAGCATACTACTTCTTAAAAGTACGATGACTTCATCTTTTTTGGTAGGCTGAAAAGCTCCATCTAAAGCAGCATACTCTATACTTCTCACCTATTTAGTAATGGCAGAGTTCACTGAAAGCCTTGATTACCAGTTGAAATGTTTCCCTCAAGATTTTCATCTAATTTCAACTCCACAGAGCATAGCAGGGCCCTAGGCGAGTTTTCACCTGTTGTCCAATGGAAGAGAATGCCCCAGTCTATGTCTTCTGAAGATAAGATAAAGCTTCAACACTGTGTTTAAGGGTAGGCTCTTAAAAAAATGGTAGCATCATTACATTCCTATTAAAAGACGCATTTCTGTTTTTCCAGAAAATAACCATTCTCTAGTGATACGGTGCAGCTGTAAGTGTATGTACAGTTCCCAGATTGCTTCAGAGTTACCCTATGCACTCTATCTTCCTGTTATCAAAGAAATGCCATCTTCTCTACCCTCCTTTCCACAGTCACAAAGCATTCTCACAAATGGCTCCCCAGTGCAGGCATGACCAGCCCCTCTCCCAAATCTTTTACAATTATCAATGCCTCTGCACCAAAACCATTTCTTAAACCACTACACACTTAAATACTCTTAAAATATGAATGGTCATTAAAAGAAGCTAGAGATTTCTCTTTTCTAGTTGCACTGTAACTTGTATGCATCTACTTGCCTGCATCCATTAATCCTCCTCCTTCGTTCTCTGCATGCAATACAGGGCGTCTAAAGCTCGACGTTTGGGAAGTTCTTTCTGGCTCTCAGTGCTGGATTAAGAATCTCCGAAATACCCAGAATTACCAAAAAGGTCCCTTGAAGTTTTAAAAATCTTAGGAATGATTAAGTAACCAAACCTGATCAAAACAGATGCCTTGATCAGCTTATTGCAACATGGCTGTGTGTGATGTCTCCTGGTAAATGCCCTGTACTGTATTATTAAAAAGCAAAGCTCTTGGAGTCACCAGCAATTTGCTGATGGTTGGTTATGAATTACTAGGTTTGCAGACACGAGACATGGACTTAGTGAGGTTTTTCTATTGGACTGAAAATATAAACTATCACATATGTAGAGGGAAATGGAATTGTGGTTGCAGTAGGAACTATAACGTTGAATTTCTTCAACTACACTACTGCAGAAAAAAATGTGTTTAAAACTTCATATAAAAGTTATCAAATATGGAGACTTGTGGATTTAAAAATACAAACCCAGGCTCATTTCACTGGAAAATGACATCTTTGATGTGTTATAATATTGCTGTTATGTGACAGTAGGAGCCAAAGAGACTGGATGAAACTTTGGTAGTCAGCCTAACGCATTAACTCATCTGGACTAGAGTCATTTCCTAACACCCAAAGATACATGAGCGCTGTGGTTTACAAATTCCAATCAGTAAGTTGCAGTAGGCTCTGCGCTGTTGCACATTTGCAAACCCAAAACTTCCTTCCCTGTTCCCCTCACCTCAACACAGCACTCGAACCCCGAAGTGTGGCAGTACCTATGGCAAACACCGCTGCTCATTTCACTTCCAGTTGCCTAAAGTGCTTCTGGGGACGCTGCCCACTAAACACTGCTCCAAGATGGCTGCTTACACAAAACAATCCGGCAAAGTATGAGATGCCTGGTCAGGGTAAAGATAAGGTCTAACCTTTCAAAACAATAAGAAGCACCAAGATTCTTTTTTTTTTCCCTTGAAATGTGAAACTGCATGTTCTGGCAGGGAAGGAAGAGATTCCTCATGGTCACCATCACAGTTCCTTCCTTCTTGCTTGTGATTGGCTGGTTCAGATGATCAAGGCTCCTGCTGCGTGTTTTAGATCTGGGCAACTATAGCCGCTAGGATGATATGGACCAAAGTACAGTCTTCAAATGTGATTGGTAGATAAATGACTGTCATTGTTTTGTTAAAAAATTTTTTTTCTTATAAAGTTAACAAACCAAGGCTGTTGATCCCTGAATTAGAAAGGTGATTTGCTTGATTATTTTCCAAAGAGTGAGGTGGGAAGGAGGAGGGAAAAGCCTCTAGTGCTTTTGTGGATGTTGCTGGTCCTCTAGTTTGGCAACATCTTCCGTTCTGGTGACGTGGCATTTTGTGAATCGAAGTACCAGCCCATGGCCCTGATGCCGGCCTCTCACGGCCCAAAGGGGAAGAGGGTCTGCCTCCTCCCCCTCGACGTTTCAGTCGGGTCCAGTGGTGGACACCGAGCCCTGGGCCGTTTCCCCAGGAGCAACTGTCTCTTCCTGTGAAGGGGACTCTTCCTCAGCTTGTCCCCGAGATGTGACAGTTGTTTCGGGGGAGATGCTATGAGGCCCCTCCAGGGGTATACAGCCAGGGTGGTTTTTGCGAAAGTGCTGATTCAAGATGGCCTGGAAGGGAAAACTTTTGCCACAAACATGACAGTGAAAGGGCTTGTTGCCCGTATGCTTGCGGATATGATACTCCAGCTGGTCTTTGCGGGTATACTTCTTGCCACACATGCGACAGACAAATGGTGTGATCCCCATGTGCAGGCGCATGTGCCGGTCCAGGCTCCCCTTCTGGTTGAAAGATTTGGCGCAGTAGATGCAGGTGAGACGGGGGTTGTACCGGAACCACCGCTCGGATACCTCCTGCTCTCGGAGATACTCCACATAGCCACTTACTCCCATCATTGCTGACTCTTCTACCTGTGCCAGGTGAGGAAAATAAGCACAAGAGAACATATTTTACAGTGATAGGCGAATCTGAGGCCACTCATATCATCCTCTTGGACTCTGATTTGCAATTATAGCTAGACAATCATGTAGGTACTCAGACAGTACTGGTCCAATAGAACTTTCTGTGATGATGGAAATGTTTATTTATTGGCACCATCTAATAGAGTTAGCTATTAGCCACATGTGGCTATTAAGCATTTGTAACATGACTAGTATGACTGAGGAACTACATTTTTCATTTTTAATTGCTTCCAATTAATTAAAATTTAATAGCTACATGTGACTTGGCTAATGGCTACAAATATCTGACAGTACAGAATACATTATGGCAAGCACATTATAAATTATGTTTATGGCATTATCATTAATACCAAAATTTAATCCATCAGTAACTAGCTTTATAAAAATGCATATAATGTGTAGGCAACAGTATTCTTTTTTATCCTGAAGTATTTCAGTACCATGCTAACATATTATCTTCATTCTAACACTACTCAAACTTTAACTGACCTCAGAATAGAGTGAAAGGAAACCAGACTGCGATATGAATTTACTAGCGTGGTTACTCTTGCCTCTAAGCTTTTCACAAATTGATAGTCAGTAAGCACTTACTGACTGATTACTGTCCCCCGAATACAATTATAGGTACCTCAAAGCAAGAAGTACAATGCTTGGTTTCTGATTTTCCTCTCTGAACTAAAGATACAACTTCTGAACAAACTAGACAAAACAGAGAAATGGGAAATACATATTCCTAATGTTGTTCCTAATTCACTTTTCCAACTGCTTATACTAAAGGTAAGTATCCTTTAAATACAGTGCACGAACTATTATCTAGTTTTATATACCTATTATTTACAGTGGTTCTGAATTGATTTAAACAGATTATTATAAGTAAATAGAATAATCTGTGATTCATATATTATTTCTCCAACCTCTTAATTTATAAAGTACCTCCCACCAAGTTAAATTTCCTACATTTGATAACAAATTTACTTAGGACATTAAAAAGCAATTATTATAAAAGCAGAATTAGAACTCTGCTGTTAGACAACTAACCCTTTAAGTTACTGCAAAATAAATGCTTTCCTTTTCTCTCTGATTTACTTTCTTTCTTTATGAAGGTCAAATGATATATATATATATATATATATAGTATTTTAAACTTTTTATTAAAATTTTGAGACAATAGTATGTTGAATCCCACTACCCAACAATTATGAACGCATGGACATTTTTTTTCTTTACCCTCACTCTCTCTCTCCTTTCTCATGTTATTTTTGAAAAAAAAAATCCCAGACATAATTTCATCCATAAATATTCTAGCACAGGGGTTGGCAAACTTTTGAGACGGAAGAGCCGCCATGGACAGCAAACTGTGGCTCGTGAGCTGCAGGTTCTGAAGTAAAATTCAAAATGAAAATAAAACTATCATAGTTTCATTTATAAAATTTTTAAAGGATATTATTCACATAATGGTGATTATGTAAAAATATACTTATGGCTCTCGAATAATTTTTAAATTGTTGAGGGACAGGATTTGCTCTTCCCAGGGGTCAGCAAACTTTTGAGATACAACATACCCAAAGAGCCGCATGTGGCTCACGAGTTGCAGTTTGCCGACCCCTATTTCTAGTATATATCTCTAAAATATGAGAATTCTTTTTTCTTAATATAATCAAAATACCACTATCACACCTAAAAAAATAACAATTAACTCCTTAATATCAATTAAATAAGACCTTAATTTTTGGTTCTAACCTAATCTGACAGTTAATTATCTAAATAGTCAAAGTATTTAATATGTGAAATAAATATGGGTTCCTCCTATCTGAAAGCTGGGAGTAGAAATATATTCCTTTGAATGATCTTAGATTTATAAATGGTTTTCATTCAAAATTCTATATTATTACCATTAGTGGTATTTTTAGCCTGATGGCTTCTGAAGTTATTACATATATACATACTTATGTGTGTATATATATGTACCTATACATAGATATTAGCAATTATTCTTGTGCCCTTTTCTTGAATTTCTAAACATGTGTTTTGCTTCCTTTCACATACATTAGCTACAGTGCTTTTCAGCATTTCCAGCAGAACAGAGGCAGTTCTCAGGCTTGGGAAGCAGCATGTGTAGTCAAGCGCTGAATAGTAAGACTGAGGTTTTAGATGATTTCTGATTTGTTTTACAGAAACTTTCTTTCTGCTCCAATTCCCTGGATAACAAACTGAACTCACACAAAGACTGAGGGATGATCCCACTAAACGGTCCTGGGTGATCATGGACTAAGTGCAGAACCTCTCTGGGGCTTAGCTTTCTCATCTAAAGTGAGGTTAGCAGATGCTTTGCCAGCTCTCCTGGATTCTCAGGAGAATCAAACGTGGTAACAGTAGTTTGAAATACTATTTCGAATGCATGTTATTGTACCGTACAGCAACTAAGGGTGCTGAAACCTGGGTTTAAATCTGCGTCCTACTTACTGTGTGACTTTGAGCAAGTTATTTAACTACTCTATGCATCACTTCACCTGGCAAATGAATATAATAATAGCATCTACCTCATAGGTTGCTATGAGCATTGAATGAGTGAATGAAGTGCTTAATGGGGCTCAATGAATGTTAACTACTATGATACATTACAAACTCACAATATTATTCATAATCTTAAGGATACTGATTCCCTAAAAAAAAAATCCTGCCTAACTTTAAGGAAAGTACTCTCATATGTATGGTCCACAAGCAGAAAAGTAAATAAATGTATTTTAGTTATCTGTGATGAACTATAATCACAAAACTGACACATTATGGTCAATCTCATGTAAAAAAATATTGCAGTAAAGCTGCAATAAAAGAGCCAATGAGTGAACATAAACTGTAGATTAGGTCCTTGTCAAAGGCAATGATGTCTTTGGTAGTTTTATTCCTTTGAACTTTAAGAAGCAAGGACAAAACTGGCTGCCTCCTGGTTCTCTCTGTCACTAAGAGGTGGGCCATTTCACTCTTCCCACTGGGCAGTTCCCTACTAGACTGTAAACTCTGTAAGCCCAGGGCCATCTGCACTGCAGAATATTCCAGAACTTGACCAGTGCCTGGTATGTAGATGTGGAGTAACTATTTTTTTAATGAATTATTCCAAGTAATGAATAAATTCCATATAAATGATTTCCACATTTTCCAAAACAAATGTGTCTAGATTCTTGACATGATCTTCAAAGCCCTCCACCATCTTAATCTTCAATTACTAATCAGAGATTCAAAGAACTGATGGGACTTCAAAAATCATCGGGCCTGGTTCTTAATTTTATTTACAGATCTCCAAAACGGGGGATTCCACAGGCAATTAAATAATCCCCTACTTAGTAGGTGCCTTTTTATTGGACACCTACTAAGTAACCTCAGTTACTCAGAATTACTTAGTGGCAAAACAACTCCTACTTATTGGGTGCTGGATAAGACAATGTCAGATATAAAGGTTACAAAATGTAGACTCTGTTCTCAAGGAGATTTCAATCTAGGAGACACAAAATTAATGCAAATAAAAAAGAATGATTTATATGAGTCAGTAGAGAATTAGGAAAGATTATATCATCTCATCTGCAAATACTACAGTAGTTCAAGGAGCGGTCAAAGAGGACTAGGCTAGTTAGGGCATTGGGCCTTGGGTGTACCCAGACACCTGGGAAGGACAGGTCATCCCAGACTCAAGGTGCTGAAACAGGAGTAAGTCTGACGTGGCTCTGACTTGAAACACAGAGAAAGTCTGCCTGTTTGGGATAGATGGTGAATGCTGATGGGTGGTTAGAAAGGCTGGGTTAGAAAGAATATGAGGCCAAGTATTTTAACCTTCACATGTAGAAAAAGGAAAAAACTACAGAATTTTTTTGAGTAAAGAAGTGACCTTAGCAGTCTGTGCCAATTTAATCACCCTTATAATCAGGAAGCTCTTCAAGTCTATCAAAATTTGTTCTCACTGTAAGTCCATGTCCTGTTTGGTTCTTTGTGGCAGGAAAAAATAACTGTGAGTAGACTCACCATAATAAACTTTCATACATGTTAGGGCACATATTAACTCATCTCTTAATATCATCTCCAGACAGTATTTCTTTAGAGCCTGTACCTTCTGCTTCAGTCAGCTAAATACCCTTGTAGAATTCCAGTTTTTACCCCTATTCCATCTACATATACAATAAGCTATCTCTTTTTATTTCATTAAATATTGCATTTAAACTATCCTGAGTATCACTTTCCTTAAGTGGATATCGATTCTAGTAACTGCCTTTTAAGCACTCCTATTCCCACAATACTGTTACTGAAGTCTACAGTCTTAGCTATACGTTTTTTGTGTATTTTGTTGGTCTGTCTTATCTCCCATTAAGTTGTAAGGTCTCATTGCTGTATTTATTTGCATAACAGTCACCTTCCCTTAATCATCACATCTTATTTGAGAGATAAGGAGAAAAAGTGCCCTAATTATATGAGAAAACTTACTTTTCCTCCATGCTCCTAATGTTTTCTCTAACACCTTATTAAAACTCAAAAGTTCTCTTGTAATAATTATAATTCCCTTTCTGGTCCGAAAAATTGGCATGATAATATCTAAGTAAATATAGTTTGTAACAATGTCTCACTGCTGTTACTATACTATGTTCACAATAAACATCCAATGTTTAGATAAAAACTAAACAAGATACTATCAGTATAATGTAGAAGCTAAGAAAATTAGCAACGTAATCTTAATCCAGCAGCATTTCCATTTAAAGGGCAAAAGTGTTTACAATGTATTATGTTCTACTTAGTGAGTTCACCATCTTTTTAAAAATCAATCTCCAATGACAGAGACCTGTGAGAAAAAACAAACAAAAATATCAACCAACTACTTATACTGCTTGCTAAGGAGAGTTGCAAAGAAAACAGAAGACACCATTCGTATCTTTTCTAGAATATTTTAGTCTAACAAAAGATTCACAAAGAAAACGAATCAGAGATACAAGCATACAAAAATGCAAACGTACACAAAAACGCATAAGCATTGGTTTACAAATACACAATACTACATAAATTAATTATGTAGTGTCATACCTGCACATGTACAGAGTCGGACTCTCCATCCCAGGTCCTAAAGGACCTGCATGTAGTTTTGGGGATTATTTTTTTATTACTACTCTCAGAACTATACACTAGTTCTATAAACAGAAGAGTTCTACAATCTCATCTCCTCTACTTCCCAAACTCTGCTGACACCAAAAGCATATTTCCTGCATGCTCACAAGCCAGAATGAAGAAAAAGAATCAAATACAGTATTTATTTAACAGGGTCACCATTTCCTCTCCTACATCTTTCCTTTCTGGTTCATTAATTCTATTCACACACAGTGGCAATTTCTTCAGCCCCCTCAGCAATCCTACCTCCACACTACATACCTGGGAGCTGGGCTGCTTAGGCTCATCCATTCTCCCAGGAGACTCACTTCTGGCTCTGTGTCTCTCCGTCAAGGGGACAACACTGCCGGAGGGGCTAAATCTGTCGGAAGAGGAGGAAAGAGGGAACTAATAGAACAGTAGTGTCAAGGAACTTAAAAATCGTGATGTCCACCCTCTTCATCCCATGGATGCTTGAGGAAGGGGGAACAAACTGGACAACAGATTACTAAGAAATACTTTCAGAAAGTTAATATATAAGATCTGATTTGAAACAAGACAAGAAATGTTTGCCCTGGTAAATTTAAGAACTATGAAATGACACAGCAGATAGACCACACGACCCCGGTGAAGCTAAGGCTAAACATAAGCTTCTATCCTTAGTAAGTACTGGGAAACCATAAAAGAATACATTAAAACTGGGTCAATAATTTGGTTCTTCTATGTAACTATTAGGTTTTTGGTTGTTTCTTCCCCCAAGCCCCATGATAACTTGTTATATATTTCAGGTTGTTGATACATAGATCACAGAGATTTAAAAGTCTTGGCATTTAAGCTATTCTGATACAGTGCCAACATGAGGGACAACAAGTATTGTGCTCAAGAATATTTTAACAGGCCGGCCGAGTGGTGCGTTGGTTAAGAGCTGGCTTGGGACGCCAGAGGGCCCCGGTTCAGATCCCACATATGAGGGCCAGTGACACTGCCCTCTACAGCTGAGATGTGGAATGACGGCTCGGCCTGGAGCTGGGCTGCTGTGAGTCACTGGCGACGGCGTAGGCTGCAGCCACTGCTGCAGTGGGTTGCCATGGGCTACCGTGTGTAGCCAGCAGCCAGCGTGAGCGGCCAGCAGCCGCAGTGAGCGGCTGTCCAGAAGCTGGCGACTGATCTGCCTCACCAGGGAAGAGCACAATAATGGTGCCAACTTGGGCCGGTGAGGCAACGTCCTCCACAACTAGGCTAAAGAACAAAATGACAGCAACTTGTCTGTTCCCCTTTCCCCAATTCCCCAGCACTGTTCCAATTCCCCAATAAAAATCTTAAAAAAAAAAAAAAAGAATATTTTAACTATTAAGGACAACGAGAAGGAAAATACTCAAGTCAAGACCACCTAAAGTGGGTACAGTATATACTATCTTAATTTCTGTGACACACAGCTCCTAAGACCAGATGTGAACCAATGGAAAAGAATAAATTACCAATCTAAATTGGTAATATTTCTTTCAATGGAGACTTTCTTTCAATTTACTTAGATGAAAACTATTGCTATTTCCACCGAAGAGAACTATGCTAACAATTGCAGTGTACTGGAAAGGGAAAAGGGAGGCACAGGTCATAGTAGCACTGGTGAAAAAAATAGACTCTCAGGCTGGTGATAGCCGCAGTCCTCAGTGGAAGACGACAGGGAAGACATCATCAAATGACAAATGAAAAAAGGAAGGAAAATCATCCAAAAAGCTTTTCTCTGGAATTACTGTACTGCGATTACATTAACTGAAATAGAATAATCAGTGCCGGTGCCATGCTTCCTCTCATTTGGTAGGTGGGGGCAAAGAAAAGCAAACAGTGCTACAAAGGCAAGTGACAGTCCTCCCAGGCCACCCACCTGTGTGACAACATACCGGCTGATGGTCAGCTCCCTGCCTGGCCTTCCCAGGAAGCCCTGGCAATTACTGATCCTCGGGTGGCGGCAGATGGTATTCTGATTCATGAAGTGTCTAACTTTACCATAGTTCTCACAACACTGTGAATACTTCGGGACTAGAGAGCTTCCTGCTTTGAAAAAATAAGAATGCAAGTCTTTTGGCACACCTTCAGTTTCCCCAACACCAACTTATTTGGGCCAAGAGCCTCAAATAAGGAAGATGCTCATCACACAGGGGCCCGCTTTAGTGAGGTCTACACCAGAGCCAACAGGTGGGCAACCAAAACTAAACCTACCTGTCAATCTCACTGCTCGTGGGCCGAGCCGCCTTGGCTCCTGAAGATCCTAAAGCATAATTTTCCTGGGCCATGGAACCATGGCCGGTGGTGTCAATCACCATGGCAGTGACCTCCTCCGCACTGCTCCCATCTTCTCCGGAAGGCTGATGCTCAGGCCCCAGCCACTCCTCCAGGTTTTCAGTTTTGATGTGTACGGCTCCAAGAACCCTCACTTCATCATCACTCCGCGCCCCTCGGTCGGCTACTCCCGTCTCCACGTACCACTGTCCTGCTCGGTTGATCCGCAGAATGGGCTCCCGGCCCTCCACGTCAGAGCTCTGCTCGATGATCTGCGGGCTGGTGGACTCCTCAGGAGGACTGAGCTCCCTGATGTCCAGCACGGCACTCACCTGACCTCGCCGGCTTCCCTTCGGGGCATTATGTCGCGGGCTCAGGGAGCGGTTTAGATTGGGGGTAACCCTGGGAGACTCTGGCGGTCTGTCTGGGTGCTTTGTCCTTGTCTGACTTAATTCTGCTTCCACCTCAGCAACGTTAATTTTGAAATGAATGCCCTCCAGGATCTGTGTGCATTTGTCTATGATATGCTGCATCTGCAGAAAACTGGCCGCTGTCAGGTAGCTGATGATATCTGCCAGCTGCAGGCATATCCTCCCGGTGTAGCAGAAAGACAGGAGCTGTTCAAACACAGTAGGGTTCTTGATGACTGAAATGGAGACAGTACTCATCTCGTTCAAGGACATGTGATCCCGGAAATAAGGGGAGCTGGCAGCCAGGACCACTTTGTGAGCCCGAAAAGCTTGTCCTTGTACGTTGACCACGATGTCACAGAGCCGACCCTGCATGCGCAGCTGGTTGAGATGGCTGAGGACAGAGTTGCTGAAGTCAGGGATCTCCAGTTGTATGTTACCACCTTTCTCCATGGTGGGGCCCGAGGGTGCAGGTAGGCATTCAACCCTGCTGAAAGAGGAAACCATCTTCTCATTAGTAATTATAATCCCACTCCCCTCATGCTTTCCAATTTAAACCTGTTTAAAAATGTTACTTGGCAAATTTTCAAAATCTCCCAGTAAAAAGAGAGAACCTGTCTTATGTTTAGATATGGAAAAGTAGTAACAACAGGTTTTTCAGTTTAGGTTTCACAGCAAGATGCCATGAAAAACCAAAAAGTGATTGTTAAAGACTCCTAAAAATTTCAGTTATGCCCATATCTTCCTTACTAACAAGCTATGCGACATCAAAACAAGTTCAATAAATAGAGGGGCGGGGAAAGCAGTTGTGACAGCTTTTGTTGTTGTTGTTGTTGTTGTTAACTATAAGGTATTTATTTGCACACCGAATATCAAATCCTGTGACAACTTTTCTTTGCAGGAAATAAAAGAGACCCAAGTTTTCTGAATAAATGTAACGATATAGATGAGTTGATTAGATAGCCCTCTTAATATTTTACTACTGTTGCATGAGTTATGTTTATTATTGTATAAAGTCACTAATGTCCCACAAGAATGTAAGCCATTATTTCTAAGCTGAAGAGCCACAGCCTTCACAAAAAGGCTTTGAGTGTGGGACTGAGGCAAACTCTAGGTTAGGAAAGATGCCACAGATCCCAAGTAAGATGCAGAGACCTCGAAGTTCACTCTCAGAATTAGGAAAGGGTAGGTAATACCTGGCTCTATCTAAATTCAAAGTTGGGAATTTCAGGGTGGTGGTGATATACTGTAATTCTGAAATTTAGTTCTCCAAGTCCGGTAAAAAAAAAATAGAGCACTTACCAAGTATGGCTCATATTTTTACATTAAAAGAATTTTTAAAAATAGCTGAAACACTCGGCCTATATAACTGCATCCAATATTCTTCAATGGTTGAGAACAGTTTGTATAAATCCCAACAGGGAAGCACTGACTTGAACCCAATGTGTTTCCACTTATCAGTAAATTTACAAAACATCAGTTACTTAAGCCCTGAAACTTCGGGAACTTATCCTGACAAACTCCCAGTATCGCCCCGCATTTACGACACACTTATCAGTCAATAGGGAAGTGTATACACTGCTTTCAAGAACCAAACGTTAGCCAATCTGACCTTTTTCCAAGGCGTTTTTGATTGTTTGAAAACTTTTAATCCAATAAGAGCCTCTGTCGATGTCATCATGAATGCAGATGTGTTTATTGTGGAGCCTACACCAGCGCCTTTTTTGTTTGCTCCTTCCGGCAATTCCCCAGTGAGGAGGAAGCCCCTGGAGTAAGGTCTGTCTCTACCGTCGGCACTGGAGGGGGTGAGAGCTGTAAGAGGGAGAATCGGCAACGGCATGGGGTTGGCCCCTCCGGTACTTGAGCGGCTTTCGCCTGCGTTAGGAAACGTGGGGATCGGGGAGCTGGCTGAGCGGCGACATGTCACCGAGGGGCGGGGGAGGAGAGGGGGAGCGAGGCGTGCGGCCCCGCAGCGAGCCATCAGGTGAGGGTGAAGGACCGGGAAGGGGGCGTCGCCCCGGGACTGGGTCCAGGCGGCAGGCGTAGGCGGGCGGGGAGCTGCCCAGAGGTGGGTGTGTGTCTGGGTGTGGCCGGGCTCCGGTGGGGGAGGGGGCCGCCCATCCCGGGGTCCTGAGGGAGGGGCTCGGCGAGGGGGCGGGTCCGGTACCTCAGCCCGGCCCGGGGCCAAGAGGGTGGAAGGTCTCCGGGTGCCTTGAAGGGGGGTGAAGGGAAGTGGCTGAGCGCCCCAGGAGCAGGCTGCGGCGGAGATCGGGCAGGGCGGCCCCGGGGTAGGGCAGCGGGACCGGCGTGTGGGGCTCGAGCCCAGTCAAGGAGCAGCACCTACCTCCGGGGGTGGAAATGGGCCGGAATGGGCCGCAACACCGTCCCGGAAGTGAAACCCCCCACCCCCTCCCCCAGAGCGGGCGACGTGCCGGAAGGAAATCACTCACTCTCACACCGCCCGCCTTCCCCCTCCCCAAGCGCTTTCCGTCCCTCGCGCCCCCTCCCCTCCGCTCTCTTCCTCCTTGGTCGGTAGGAGGGTGGGAGCCTCGCGTCACGCGGCCGTTAGTGTCCCCGCCCACAATGACGAGGGGGCGGGCCTAGAGGAAGTGCCTGGAGGAGGAGCTGAAGCCGACGCTGGCGGGGAGAGTGCGTCATGACGTCACGGAAAGCAGTCTTTATATAGAGGCTCCTGGGCGCCATCTCGGTCTTTCGAGGCTGGAAGTCGGCGTCTGGGTGAGTTTTTTTTCATTTAGCGGTTGCTAAATGGGTTCGTGGCTCCAGGCCTCCAGGGCTTGTCAGTTAAACTCGCCTTAAACTGACTGGCATTCCTAGGCCAGTCCCAAGCCAGTGCGTGACCCACAAGATGAGGATGGTAAAGGATTGCGCGTTGCGTGCGGGCTCGACCTAAACGCAACTACTCGGTTTGTTGGGCGGAACTGCGGAAAAACCTCGGCTCGTATGCTCTGCCTCTGATGAAGCCTGTGTTGGTAGGGACATCTGAGACTGTTGATGAATGCCAACAGCTCTGATGGCGGCGCATGCCGAGTCACCCTAGTGGGCCTTTTGTCAATGACCTGGGCCGGAGCCGCGTCCTCCAGGAAGGTCGTTAATTGGGGTAATCCACGTGGTTCTTGAAATCGCTGCATTCTGCAGTGCACCATTGTTTGCATCAGTGGTTCTTAACCTTAACTTGGTGCATTGCTCGATATCTTACGTGCACCCAATACAGCCATGAAATGGGTGGTATAAACGATTTGCATAGGTGATAAACGACATAATGCCCAATTTAGAACAAAATGAACTAAAAGAACTTTAATCTTTTTCTTAGGAATGATGCTGGACACGAGTGCAGCGTGGCTTTTGTTGGCTTCTGATGGACGGGTAAGAAACGTAAATACAGGGGGAAGAATGAAATCTGCTTAAAAGTGGTCTTTTTTGTTAAGCCTGTGATGTTTTAAGAGTAGTGGACAGAAGGGATTTCTGAAAAATTGTATTCTGAGGCTTAAATATTTAAGATGGTAATATTGAACTTAATTGCACAGTATGATTGATTGGATATTCTTTGTATCTGTGTTCTAGTTATGTGCCAAAGGAATGAGAACAGCTGCTGGGGTAAGTTAGTGAAACTCCCTTACAGAGGGAAGCTAGGTTGAAAGTCCACTGAGTGCCACAATGATGATTTTGTTTGCTACTCTTGACTGTGAGAATGACGAGAATTACTACCACCAGTATCCTAACTGAGGCACACAAAATGGTGATTTAGAGAACATAGTGGTTGCACCTAAGTTTACATGACGCTGTTTTCTTTCCAGGTCCCAAAGCACAAGCATCACGCTCTAGCCATGGGCAGACAGGTGAGAAACCTTTCATAGTCATGCTACCCAGTGTACTTATCAATTATTTTTTAAGAGATTGCAAGTTGCCAAACCAGTGCTGATGTTTAGGGTTTTCCTCCCCATTTCAAACGTGAACTTCTACACTCATATTTTCTATTTAATGCTGGGGGACACTTGAAACAGATACTATGATGGTTGCATAGTTCAGCAGATTGAATTGTGAAGAGAGATACCATTTGTCTGATGTGTCTGGTGTTGAATTGGTTTGCTGCTAATTGCATATTGTGAAGTACCACCACTGAATCTGGCTTCTTTTTTGTAGGCACTAAAAAGAACTAGCTGGAAGTTGATGTGGTAAGTAGAATTATAATGAAATGTCGGTAACTGGGCAAACGTGACAAGACCGCCAGTGGCGTTCAGGATTGCCTTCTAACGTACAAATAATCTCAATGCACTGAACGCCAGACCCTGTCCTGTTACCCTTAGTAAGATGTCATGATTTGTAAAAGCAGCCTGTATGATGATAAGCAAATACTGAATGAACGTGAAGGTTTTAATTATTAGCTCTACCTGATTTCAGGCCTTTTTGGGGAGGTTTGGGAGGAGAAAATTCACCTTTGGCTATTGTAAAACCACTCTTTATTTTGTAGATGGACTTGAGTGTTGGACCTGTCGGGACTGGTTTTATTGTCTTTTTTGGTAAGTATTGGTTTATAAAATGTCAATAGACTTAAAACTTACTGAGGATACTGATAAAGTAGTGCTTAACTACAAAGCTACTAATGACTTACTGCATATTTGGTTAGTGGATGCATGTTATGCATGCTCTGGACGGGGTTTTTGTAATGATGCTGACCAAATGTCTGACCTGAAGTGAACGTGTAGACAAATCTAACACTGAAAAACCCTGTGACAAGTAACTGAGGAGGGAAATTAATGTTATTTAACATATTAGTGAAAATAGCCTGTTTTCTCTTCTAGCTACTGGATACACATTTGATCCATGGATGGCATGCTTGGGGTAAGACGTGGAGACAATCCTTTGGCTTCTGGTACTCACTGATATTGGTGAAACGTGATGGCCTTGGTTGCTGACTGTTAGTGGTGTCTAATGTTGCAAAGACACTAGGCAGTTTGAAGAAATAACGCAGTCTTAAAAAAAATTGTTTTTCAGGTGCAGATTTTGGAAACCTTTCATATAAAGGTAGGTACTTTGTTGATCTTCCCTAATCTTACTAAGCAAGATGCTGTTAGTGATGATTTGAAATTTAAAACAGATGGGAATCTCTCTGAAAAAGAGTGAAGATTTTTTAAAAACTGAAACAGTACCTGAAAAAATTTAGAAATTGACCTATTGCTACTACTTGTTACTAAATTTGATTAAATTTTTGCAGGTGTGAAGAGTTGTGTTGGCTACCGGCCTGGAGCAAAGAGTTTTTTTAAGCAAAGGTATAGTAGTTTCATGTTTGTTTTCTGTGTTTAAGTGGTTTAAAGCCGATACAATGATGATAACATAGTTCAGCAGACAAACAGTGATGAGCAATGTTGTCTTTCGCTCCTATCTGATGTATCTGGCTGGCTGCAACAATCCTATTTATAACCTCAAAAAGGGGAATTAGCCATTGTCCCACAAAAAACATTCAGGGGGTTGGATAACTAATGTCTCATGCAAATGTTCTGTTGCATTTAAGGGTTAAGTCACATTTGAGGGAAGCATAGGTTGCATTTTTGTGAGGAAATGTTTGTGGCTTGTGGCTTATGTAAATCTAGTTAATACCGGAATGGTTATTTAGCTGTTTTAATTTTTAATTAGGTTGAATATTCCACTTAGATTCACAGTAAAATTGAACAGGAAGTGCAGAGTTCGTATATACCCTATATTTACACATCTCACTGTCGATACCCAGCCACCAGAATGGACCTTTTGTTAAAATTATGAACCTAGATTATTACCACTCAAAATCCATAGTTTACATTAGGGCTCATTCATGGTGGTGTGCTTTCTATGGGTTTTGGACAAATGTGTAATGAAGTGCACCCACCATTATGCATTAAAGGTTTAGAATAGGTTCACTGCCCTAAATGTTACTTAATCTAAAAGTTAAGATGAAAAATGGTGGGAGTTAAGTGGGGCAAATATCCAATGAATGTCCTTTTTTTCATCACACAGGCAGAACTTCTGTACTGAAGATTTCAAGGTAAGTCAGTCTTTGGTATAATATTATGTTACAATGTAACCAGTGATGTAAATGATTCTGCCAAATGAAATAGAATGATATCACTCATAAAACCGTTCCATTTTGATTCTGAGGTTACTTTACTAACATTACTTACACGAGCTGTTTTTACCATGATTAACATGTGGTCTTTGTTTTTAGGGCATTTATGACGACAGTCATGCTGCTGACTTGTTGAAAGGTAAGCCTTGAAAACATCAGTAGTGTTGCCTTATTCCAGAATACATGATGATCTCACCCCAACTTGAACTCTCTCACTGATTACTTGATGATGATAAAAGATCTGATATTCTGTGTACTTCAAATACCATTAGAATTAAAATGTAGAAATGTGACTAAAAACAGCTTTTTTTCTGCAGGGAGCTGGATGGATGCTCATGGGATAGAAAGAAGATCAAATAATTCTAATTTAAATAAATTTTTATAAACCATCTGGTCCAAGCCTGCTTATTTCAACTTAATAGGATGAAGGAAGGAAAATATGGGACACTTTGTAAGTAAGACCCTATGGCACTAGTTCCCTAGTGTGATAACAGCTTGTTGGCATTTTCATGTGTTTTTTACAGGATGCCTCAGGCTTGAAAGTGCACATTATGCTGAGGCATAACCAGCTCTTAGTGGTCCCCTTAATGTCCAAGATGGGCAGTTGCACCATCAAAACAGATACACAAATGAAATTGCAAAGAGCAGATGCTCTTAATGTCAACAGTGGTTGAGTGCTGAAATTAGAAAAGATGCATTTGCTAAAAGCACCATGGTGATGGGTCTCTGGCAGGTGAAAGATGCCACAATTGCAGTGTGAGGGGGTGATGGGTTGTCTCTGAGGGACTCCCCCCAAAGATGGATATTTTAAAAGGAAAGCCTAGAAAGCAGTAGGACAAATTAAATTTTGAGGTCAGTACTGTGGGTAACCAATGTCCTTGTATTTTGAAAATGAGAATTTAGGAGAACTAATTGTGCAAATAAAACTGGAGGCGTGCACTTAGGTTAATGAGAGCAATAGTTATTCCAGTGGGTTGCAAATTACTCCCTAAATTACCAGAAAAACCATTAGCTCTTTGGCTTGTAACATTGAAAAACCCCAATAGTACCTGCCAATCAAGTTTCAGCTCACTTTCCAATTTAGCATTTGGAGCTGGAACACTTGTCATTTCTCTTAGGATTCTGTTTGATAGCTTAGTTGTGAATATTGCAAATCTGGAAAAAAATGGCCACTGTTTTCCTCCAAATACATTAGGTATTGTTGGTTAAGGTCAGCTCAGAGTATGAGGAAATTGTTTCAAGATCTATTAGCACTCTAGCCACATTGATATCCATACTTAGAAGTTTTAAGCTTTCTTCACTTGGCTGTTCTTCAGAAAAGGGGCAACCACATTTAAGTTCCTGGTCCCTACTCAGAGGTCTCCGCCCACAGCTCTGACATAGCCTGTGTGAAATGGAACCGTCACCTGCACTAGCTTCACTTACCTGCTTGGCATGTATTGGTTCCATTTTCCCCTGGTGGAATGTGAACTCCATGAAAGGGAGTTAACCCGGTTTTGTTTCCAAGCCTGTTCAATTACCAGTAGGTGGTAAATATTTACTGAAAGAATTCAGTATGATCAGTGAATCTTGAGTTTTGGTGATTGGGTGCCCAAAGGCTGAAGATAACATACCTTGATTTTGAAATGGGGAATAAGTTACTTCTTAATGGGCTATGTCCTGGATGAACGCAATGGCTGGTGGGGAACTACCACAAAGTGAAAAAGCTAATCTGAAGGGACACGTCTAGTGTACTAGAATACAAGCATTAAGTCTGTCTTATTTAATAGACATGGGTGATGAGAAATAACCTATCTTTTGTGTTTGCTAAGTGTTTCAATCCTTTCAACGGCAGCAATTTTTATGTATAAATAGGGTAGTTACCAGAGGCCACCGACAGGTAGGTTAGTTAGTCAATAACACATGTTCATCAGAGTAATTGACAGAATTACGGTAATACTGAAGCATTTCAGGACTGGAAGGAAGGGCCAAAACCACTAGAAACACTACAGGCAGGAATATTCAAGTCCTGAACTGAAAAGTTCAGTGGTGTACTTGGGAAAAAGCCGGCTTCACAGAAGATGTGGAGACTGGAACATGAACCCTGTATCCAGAAGGATTCGGCTGATTAAAAATTGTGACCTTAGACTGGCACTGGTAGGAGATTGGGTTAAGAATCTGATGGGCTCTCAAATTCTAGTCACTATTCTACAACCCATCACATGCACTGGGAGAGGAGTTGGCTAATGGGCTGTGTAGTAGGTTGCTGTTATGCACTGGTAACGTTTAAATCACTGATTTCTGGACTTCCAGTATCTTCACTGATTTGGTCCCCTGAAAAATTACACCTATTTACTAAGGGAGATCCCATGTAAATTAGTTTCATTGAGGAAAATGGAAACCTGTTAATTGATCCAAGCCATCACAGCCAACAAATGGCAGTTCTAGTTGAGTACACGATCTGTCTGGTTGCACTCTGGTTGCACGTCCTGCCAAGATCACAGGACGACCTCCATGCAATTCCACTCAGGCTGGAAAGTTGGATCCTGTCATTCAAAACCAGTGCTTGTTTAGCCTTAAAATGTGACAGCTTTTAAGGTAAATTGACTTTCATCTTTAATAAATCTGTGTGTTTACAGATTTTTAAAAGGATCCTCAAGCTCTTTCACATCCCTGGATTGATACATTTTAAGCTTCAGCTGTAAAGCTAGGGAATGTTGGTGTACAGATGAGAGAGCTGAGATGACCCATAGTGACCTGTTCATCCCAAGCATTTAAAGGAAGGTCAGTGCCAAGAATTAAGCTGGCATAGCAACAAGCTGCCAGCACTTGAGGCAGGGTTTTGAGGCCTTTCCTATTGTTTGGGTTGATCCTGGCTTCTCTGCATGGTTTCATCTAAGTTTGCCCAATATCAGTATCACTGGGTCTCCCCTACCAGTCTGAGATCTCCAGGATGAGGACCACAATTGATCTTCATGCCCCTCCAGCTTCTAACCCAGAGCTTGGCATGCATTAGTCCAGAGGTCAGCAAAGTGGCTCATGAGCCACATGCGGCTCTTAAATTGAAAAATGAAAATAAAACTTTCATTTATAAAAATTTTAAAGGATATTCACATACTGATTTTTGTTTTGTTGTTTTAGCTGAGCCATCCTGCCACCTGTTAGCAGCTCAGCTCGGGCATCAAACCGCTGTTGCTCAGAGCTTGCACTCTTGAGCGAGCTCTTAACTAAGCCACTCGGCCGGCCCTGATTTCATTTGTTTTATGGCTCTTGAATAATTTTTAAATTGTTGTGAGGGACAGGATTGGCTCTTCCAGTCTCAAAAGTTTGCCAACCCCTGTACTGGTCAAGCATTGACAATTAACCCAACAGATGCTGATTGGGCACCTACTACATGCCAAGTCATGTTTTCAGTGCTGGGAACAGATCCCGGAGAACAAACAAAAGTCCCTGCCCTCAGGGGCTTTACATTCTAGTCTGGCAAACAGAGCAAAATGTATCAGATGATGTGATAAGTGCTACAGGGGAAAAAAACGGATGTGGACAGAGGGTGCTGGTGGGAGGCAGGGGCTCATTAAAATACCGCTGTCAGAGACATCTTCACTGAAAAGCATCTGAGCAAAGAAGATACCAGGGTGTGAACAATGAAATTACTTGAAGCCAAGTTGCTAGTGTAGCTAGGGTGAAAGCCTGGACCTGGATCTGGCCTGGTGAACACCAGGAAAAGCAAGGACACCAGTGTGAGAGGAGCAGAGGGCGCACGGAGGAGTGTGGGAAGACACGGTCAGGTAGCAAGAGGCAGGTTATGCCGGCGGAGGCCAGTGTAAAGACTGGCTTTTCTCTGACGTAGGAGATCCTGGAGCATTGTGAGGAGTGACATCTGATCTCTAACGGACTGCTGGCGGATAAGGAATTCTATATACATTATATATAAACTATATATTATGTATTCTTGTTCCTTCTTTTATATATAAGTGCCATTTCCTGATTTGGAACACTTTGAGAAGCATATTTAAAGATTACAAATGTGGGTACGCCTTCCTTTATACAGCATTATATTGTTTATAATTCTGCAATTTCAGTTATTAAATCTCGACGTTGAGTACATGTCATCTAAATGTTTTGTGTGACAATGGGAAGTATACATGAAGCACTTGTGCCACATACCATGTAGTTTTTTTCTAGAAAAACCATGTGCCAGTGTTTGCTACAAGCTGAATTACCTGCTTTTTCCATAGAACACCATTTTTACTTGAAAAAAAGACTGACAAAGATTATGTTCATATTTGGCAGGTAGTTTCTCAAAAATAAACAAGTAAGTTTGGAAAAAACTGATGGTATTTGTTGCCCATGCTAAAATTCAAGCTTTCAAATGAAAATTAGAATTTTGGAAAGTTTGTATGTCACTGTGCACTTACAGCTTCTCCATACTTAGACTTGTGGTGAGATCAGTAGTGATATTAAGGTGATTTTTTTAGAAATTATAAAACGAAATTTGTCAACAGTTGGAGGATTTGCGTAACAGTGAACCAATCATTTCCAAATGATCAATGTGTACTGTTAAACATTACGCATAGGTACAAACTGTATTCAAAATATGACATAGACCAGCGGACTTTCAGTAAAGTTCATCTATATGGTTCAGATTCCACATTGCAAGTAACCTTTAAGGAACTCGTAAAGTTTTGGTGAATATAAGGAAGAATATCCGTAACTATCAGAGAAGGCTATTAAAATACTCCTCGCCTTTCTAACTTTATATCTTTGAGCCAGATTTTCTTCATATATTTCATCCAAAACAATGTATCACAACAGATGGAATGCAGAAGCAGATATGAGAACCCAGTGTCTTCTATTAAGCCAGACATCAAGAGGATTTGCAGAAATGTAAAACAATGTCACTCTTCTCACTAATTTGTTTTAGAAAATAATTATTTTTAAAATAAAAATATGCTATTTATGTTAATGTAATGGATTCATTATTTTAAAGTGAATAGTAAATACTTAAGAAATCTTAACTCCTACTATAGTAGTAGAAGACCTCTATAGAGCTTTTTGGGATCCTCAATAATTTTTAAAGACTGTAAGGAGTCCTGAAATAAAAAAGCTAAATAAGTCCATTGTCTTAAATACAGAAGACTGACTTAAATGTGCCCTTATGTTTACAACTTATATAGCTACCTTATCTAATATTTTTGTTGTGTACCTGGTTATTTCTCATGAGAAAAAAATATCTTTGAGGCAGCATCCTTAAGATGAGTTATGTGTTTAGCAAACAATCAATAGCAAGAGATGTGACCGTTGTCAGAGTTTTGGTTCTTCAGAGAGGAATTCTGGGAAAAGGCAGAGCAGCTGTATGAATGCCTTGTTTTATTTAACCAAAGCCCAAGAGCATAAAACAGTCCCATCAGACTCATCTGACACATCTCTTTCCAACAAGGAGAAACTGTTCCCAAGACAAAGCTCCCTGGAAGCTAATAACTGTTGATGTTATAGCTGGCAGTTGCTTACCTGTTTTTAAAACTTGCAACATAGGATAAATCTAAATTCCTTAGCAGGTTGGAGATTGGATTTGAAATAAACTCAACTTCCTGTTTACAATTAGTTTGTCCATTTCAAAATCCTGGTTGTGTTGTTTTCAACTTTATTAGTAAATAGTTCCTTGATTTTTGTTTAATCTTAAACTATAAAATATGTAGCTACACCTGCATCTGTTTACAGGTGGATGGATAACCCTACGTTTGTATCATGCCTTACAGTTTCTCAAAGCATTTCTTTCACATTACCTGCCACACACAGTGTCTCCTGATTCTGGCAAGAAGAGGCCTGTGGAGCCTCCAGGGCAAACATGGTTTGCATTTCACACAAGCAGGAGGGATGTAACTTGCTCAAGGCGAAGCACTACGACTTGGTGACTTCCATTTCAGTGATTTTTTGCATTATATTATGCTGCTTCATGATATTACATTGATAGTTGAAATGTCACTGTCCACCTTAATTTATAGGATTCTCTCGATGAAGCTGCTTGAACTGATTCCTCCATCAGTTGACCAGTCCAAGGGGGCGGGCATTTTCTCTCATTTCACACATGATTCGATTACTTTTGTCCTAAGTGAACAACTTACTATCCAGGTACGGAAAACATGATTAGAAAACAGTCATGATATGACTGCCACACACCTCGCCAAGGAAAAAGAAAAAGTCCCAAACAAAAAAGTCCTCATAATGCATGTTTTCAAGTCAAAACTGGATATCTTCTATCTGTGTCTTCATTGTGAAGACTGTTGCCTGGCCTCTTTCCACCTAAATACTTGTCAGGTCTGTGGCAGAACCACGCATCAGATTCGAGCCTTGAGGAAGCAAAACAGGATGAGACTCAAAAGCTCAACTTTCTGGATGGTGTGGGTGATTCAATGAGTTCTTGTCTGCTTCTGAGTCAGTTGGCCAGGAGACCTGGATATGATAGGGCTTCAGTTCCTCAGGAGGGATAAAATCTGGGGCACCGCTCATGAGGTCGTGCCCCCGGAAGGATTTCGGGAAGGCTATGACATCTCTGATGCTCGGTGCTCCAGTGACAAGGCATATCAGTCTGTCTAATCCTGTGAGTAAGAGACAAAATTAACAGATGAACATGTCATCTAAGGCTGGGAGTGACTCAGTTTTTCTATAAAGTTGTAGGGAACTTTTAAATAAGAATCTTTGAACAAGTTGCAGCCAAGCATAGTTCCCTTCTTGTTAGGGAACTTTTGTTTGAGAGGTTCTTTTCTATTTCATTTTAGAAAAATACTCAGGACTAATGTTGACATGCCACTGGGGCTAACAGTGACAGCAGTCAATGAGTCCTTCGAAGGGCTCACTAAAGGTTGAATAAAATTAGGTGCTGTCCGAATAGTTTTCTTAAAGAGCACAGAAGGCCTCTGTTGTTGAGGGCCCATAATCTAGGTGAGCTCCCTAGAATTGCTCACTCTCTTCCTTGCCTGATAAAACCACCATGGCCATCAGAAGGGCGCTGGCAGGTTTCTGCATTCACAAGACGAACACTAGGCAGCAATGCTTTCCAGACTCCTGTCAATGTGTCTGAGCCTCAGGGATTTGGGCAATATTGACCTAAGACTGTGCAGTTTCATCCTATTAAAATCTTTCAAATGCAAATTATCAATGAAGTTTTATTTTTACAACTGGTAAAATGTTTTAAAAATATAGCATTGAAATGAAAACGCAAACTTAAGTTCTTGTAGAACCTTTGGCTCGCCCCTGCTTTCTTCACTTCTCCACCCACCCCCATCAGTGAAGGGCCCCAAATTGAGACATAACGAGATGCAATGAAATTTAGCTTGTAAAAGGGCAGACTGTTTACCTAAGGCAATTCCTCCATGAGGGGGCGCCCCGTGATCTAAAGCCTGGAGCAGGTGGGAGAGCAATTTCACATCTTCCTGAAATTCAAAAGACAATTCAACTTAAATACACACCTTGGGTCCGCTAAGTGCCAGCAGTATGCTTAGGTGCTAAAGGGAAAATAGAGTCTAAAAAGGACCTGAAGAGGTTTACAGTTTAGCATGAGAATGTGACACGTCACCGATATGAAACGTGGAGAAATGTAATGCAGCTGTGATTACACTGATAATGCAAACAGAGTAGTAAGACCCGGCAAGGATATGGAGGTGTGGGCTCCAAAAAGTAGGATGAAAGCAGGGAACCATCCTGTCACAGGGACCAAGGGAAGAGAACATTATTAGGAAGCAAGTGTCAATGCTGCTGGGGGAGAGAGGACGGCTTGAGGGTCAAGAACAGGCCACTGGATCTGATGACTGCACGGAACTTCTATGGGGCAATGCGTGGAGAAACACTGACGTGTGTCTGAAAATGGTTCTCTAACCAACCAGGCTACAGATCAGAATCAAGTAGGGAGCTTTTAAAGGACAAATGCCAAAGCTCTTTATTTTATTGGTGTGGGGTGCAGCTGCTTGTGCATTTTGTTTTCAGTGCCTTCCAAGTGATCCTGTTCTAATGTGTGGCAGGGCTGGGAACCACTGGTGTGTATGAAGCAGCAGAAGCAATGTATTCTCACTGACTCTTTTGAGACGCTTGACAATGAAAGGAATGAAAACATAGGCTGGCGAACTGGTGACTGGAGGCCTAGTCTTGGGGGAGAAAAGTTAGGGGAGTTCGCAGTGCCCCTAACACTAGAAGGGGGTCTGGTGTTTTGAGTTCTCCAATGCTGCTCCCAAAGTTCTGTCCCACCTCACACCTGGGAGTCAGCCCCACAAAGCGCTCTTTCAGGACCCGCCTGGCTTCATCCTGTCTTGCCTGGAGCCTAGCCTAGCCGTCCACGGAATCATCCAGCTGTAGCCTCTTAGCCTGCTTCTCTACAGACTTCCTTTCCAAACTCCCGATGACCCCACTCTCTTTCACTACAATCTACCCCCTTCCTCAAATACAACTAAAGTAGTGCCTGGTAAGTGATAAAAAGTCCTCTCACCCGCCTCTTTCTCTAGCGTTATCAGTGTTTTCAGTCACTTGGTCAGTTTTTGAGCAGTGTAGTGGTTAGGAGGATGGGACCTTGGGGTCAAGGGCCACCTGCCTGGACTCGAATCCTGGCTCTGCTTACTTTTATGCCGTGACTTTGGGCAAGTTCATTAATCTGCCTCAGTTTATTACCTGTAAAATGGGCAGAATAAGGGTATTTACCTCAAAAAGTGACTGAGAATTAAATGTGTCGATGCATATAAAGAACTTAAACAGTGCCTGGCACGTAGCAAGCACTAATAAACAGCTATCACCATTCACTTTTCCAAGGCTTACACTGAAGGTGGAGAGAGAAGCTGGCACTATTCTCTGTCTAGTGAGTCCTCCACTCATCACAAGCTTTAACAATCAGACAAATGTAGTGTGAAAAGGCCTGGGCAAAAGACGCTGTTACCTTCAGGACTGCTTCCAGGATGTGGTGCTGCAGCTGTGCCTCGTGTATCCGGATGGAACCACCTCCTACCTCACTGCCGTTTAAAACCAAGTCATAGTGTTGGCTGCGGGCCTAGGAGTCACAGACGGCGAGTTAGAGAAAATTCCTGGCTCTCGCTCCTCTGGGTAGAAGACACTGGAGCTACTTAGAGAACGTTAACTACTGACTCCCACCCGACCAGCTCTTCTGGGGCTTCCAGAAGGGGGTCAGACTGAAACCTGAAGCTCTCTGCCTTCGTTTCCCCGGTTTACCAGGAAGTACAGATAAGGTACCTTTTCGGGCTCGGAGTACAGGAGGTGGGTGTCACTGGGATGAGGAGCAGTAAACGGGTGGTGGGCTGACTCCAGCTCGCCGGGATTTTCCTCTTTGGGAAGGAAGAGTGGGAAATCCACCACCCAGAGGAAAGAGGACACAGCTGGGTCACGGAGCACCACTCCTCGTGCTTCTAGAAGGTCAGCACATTCCAGTCGTAATTTTCCCAACAAGGAGCACTGCAAAAGGAAGATATGAACAGCGAGTCAACCGCTGTGACAGAGTCAGCAGCACGTGGCACCACCTGGAGTCAAAAGCCAGGACATTCTTGGAGAAAGGATTAGCCAGTTAAGAGACATTCGAAGCTTCTCGGGAGACAGAGCTGAGGATGATCTGACTGCAACACGGTTGAGAACGATGGTCAGACTCAGCGACTGGGTGAGTATCTTCTAACGGTAACTGAGAACACAGGTTATCAGAGCTTGACTGACTTGGGTCTGCATCTCTGTTTGGCTACTGACTAATTTCTCGGCACCCTTTTCCATAGTAAAATGGAGATAAAAGTATCTGCTTCGAAAGACTTGTGACGATTCAGTGAGATCAAATATTAAGGTGCAACATGCATAGCAGCCATGACGGTTACTGTTTCCTCGCTGCTCCCTAAGGGCTGTGCAGAGGACCCGATGAGAGCCTGGCACAGTTAATGTTCTGCAGACGTTGGCTGTTATTAAAAAGGCAGTAGGATTAGAGGTTAACTTAGGAGTGTGACTTCTGAGGGCCGGCCGAGTGGCTCAGTTGGTTAAAAGCTTGCTCAAGAGTGTGAGCTCTGAGCAACAGGGTCCCCGGTTTGATTCACGGCCCAAGCTGAGCTGCCAACAGGATGGCTCAGCTAAAAATAAATAAATAAATAAATAAATAATTTAGGAGTGTGACTTCTGGAACCAGACTTCGAGGGTCAGAAAAAAATTTTGGCTCCTCCACTTCCCAGCTGTCTGTTTGAGCAAAATTTTAACCTTTGTGCCTCAGTGTTTTTATCTTTATCTACAATGGCAACAATATCAGTACTTCTCTCAACAGAGTTGGCATGAGGATTAAATGAATATACATACACAAAGTACAACAGTGCTGGGCAAACAGAAGTGCTTAATAAGTGCTAAGCATGATGCACGGGGCTTCGCTGGAAAAGGACACCTAGGAGAGGAAACATGCTCGGAGACGTGCACAGGGTGTCGCTTTGTGGCCTATTCTATCTCACATTTAAATATCCACATGGCACTTTCACTGTTACTATAAAGAAACCATCCTATACTACAAGAATGAATTTATGTCATGTTTGACCATTACAGTATATTTTCAGTGTTCATGTTTGACTTTTATACCACACTTTTTTGTTGTTGTTTAAAATTGGGGAACAGTGTGTTTTTCCAGGACCCATCAGCTCCAAGTAGTTGTTTCAATCTAGTTGTGGAGGGCGCAGCTCAGTGGCCCATGTGGGGATCGAACTGGAAACCTTGGTGTTATAGGCACTGCACTCTAACCACCTGAGCTAACCGGCTGTCCCTATACAATGATCTCTAAAGCTAGATGCAGTCTTCCATCCGTCTCCTGAAGAATGGTGACTCAGCCAGTGCATGGCAGCACTCAGCACCTCCCAGCTGCTGGAAAAAGGACCCTGCCAACAGCAAGCCAGGGCCAGGGTGGGCTGTCAGCCAGCCCAGCAGCCCTCCAGCAGTCTGGTCTGGCCCCCACATTTTCAGGAATGCATTATGTACAGAAGTTAGTGATGACCAGATTTTCTTAATCGGCAAAACCTCAAAAAAGAAACTATTTTTTCACAGTTGCCCCTAAGTGGCTTTCTTAATCAGAGCCAAATCCAATCTGTGTGAGCAGTGCCAGCGGAGGCTGGTAGCTGGTGTGAAAAACTCTAGTTTTTATACAGTGCATTATAAAGCACTGGAAGATATTCATTCATATAAAAATTCATGCAGAGCAGCTCCATTTTTTGGAATTAATAGCCCATTGCAAATCCGTGCTCTATACACGGAAGCGGCTTCCTTCAGCCTCCACAGCCCAGCCGCCTGAAGGGAGTTTTTCTTACTGCTCTCCTGTGCTCTCCAGCAGTCAGCAGGACCACGTCCTCCTCTTGGATCTCCATCTGTCTGGTTAGGCCCAATCCTTGCTCCTCCATTATGAAGTTAGCAACTGGAGAATTCCAGTTCTTATTGGCTTTCAGGAATACAGGTAAGACTTCCTGTGATACAGAAAAAGACTTATTCACATTTTTTTAAAAAGTGGCGTTGATTTATTTTTCTTATAGTACAAAGATTTATTGTTCCCAATAGAAGAGAACCTACATGAGGTTATCTCTAGTCCTTCCCTGAACCCCTTCAAAATGATACTAAAGGAGTTAAAAAAGTAATCTCATCATAATGAAAAAAAAAAAAAGAATGATGGGTGAGGAGGGATGTCATCGGATAAGAGATTTCTGCAAAGTTTTGGCAGGTTGCAAGTGAAGCGAATAGGAATGACTGAAGAAGCAAGATGAAGGAAGGTCTTGCCCAGAGAAGAGTGGAGCCGCCTCAGCACAGGAAGGAACTGATTTTACCTGGCAGGATCCTAGACACCCTCAGGACTCTTGAAGCTTTGGGTACCCAGGGTAATGGCTAACGCCCTACTGCTCACCTGAACCTAACCATTTACAAAGCTCTTCCAGGGGCCCTGTCCTCCCAACCAGCTTTTTAAATGCCTCATTCTTAAACATGTATAATCAACAATCGTTCCACAATGAAGAAACTCTGTAGTATTAAAAAACTCAAAGACACACAACCAAGATAAACAGAAAAAAGAACCCAAGTGGAAAGAGATAATTTAGGGACCAAAAGAGGGCTTGAACCTCAAAGACACTCAAAAAGAAATTTTATCAATGAAACCAGAATAAAATGCAATGAAAAGAAGCAAGAAAGAGCTACTGGAAAAAAAGATATGTTGCTAAAAAACCAAAAAACAAACACAAAAAACTCAGAAGAGTTGAAGAAATGTCCCAGAAAGAATAAAAAAAGACGGTATCATGGGAAAGGATACAGGAACAAAAGAGGCATACAAGTTACAAAAAGAGGCCCAGCATACAACTAAGAGAGAGCCCCAAAGGAGAGACTAGATGAGGTCAAACAGACAACAGAAGAACTTTGCACACTTGAAAGACATGAGCCCAGTGTACTCGAAGGCCACTTCAAGTATCAACACACTCCATGAAAGAGGACCTAAAGCTACACAAGTTGTAAATTCACACAAGCATCAGACTTCTCTTCAGTAACAGTAGATATAAGAAGAAAATAAAGCAATGCCTTCAACAAGCTAAAGATGTACTGTCTAATACAGTGGCCAGTCACATGCAGCTACTTAAATTTAAATTAAAATAAAATAAAAAATCCAATTCTTCAGGCATACAAGCTACATTTCAAGCATTCAGTAGCTACACGGACCACTGGCTACCATATTGGACGATGCAGCTGTGAAACATGTCCATATTACAGAAAGTTCTATCGGGCAATGCCGTTCTACCGGGGTGTGGCTGCCAATCCAGAATTTTATACTCAGAAAAATTACTAATCAAATGTGAGGATTTGAACATAACGACATGTTTAGACATGTAAGGATTCAGAAAGTTTCTCACATGCTTCCTTAGGAAGTTATCTGAGGACATACTCCAGCACAACCAAGAAAGAGGAGCAGCTGGGATCCGGAAAAGAGTGGCTTCAACTCAGAAGAGGAATAAGGTCCAGAAAGACAGCTGTGCGGACGGTACAGCGACCAGGTAAGGCCTGTGTGTGTGAGCCTCGTCTCTCACTGCAGAGGTTAACAGATCAAGTTTAAAATGGATAATAAGAATAAGGGCAGTATGTAGACATATTTCTGAAAACAGACACACTCTGGTATGGGACTGGAGCTAAAGCAAACACTGCATTTCATTATTAACCCATCTTTACTGTTTATTTTTACCATGTGCATGTACATATTGCTAAAAATAAACACTAAACAATTTAAGCCAAAGCAAGTTAAAAGCATTATTGAAAAAATAAGTAGTACCTGTTTCTTATATAAAAATTCAGAAAATTAGGGAAGTAACAGAGAAAAGAGGGGAAGAAAGAGTAGAAGAAAATATAATAATAGTCCCATCAACTATTGGCTGCCAAATTAACCTTCAAGCTTATTTCCTGATCCTGTGGTTCCTAGGTGTGGATTTCAAACACTAGTAAAATAAAAATAAACACAATTGGGAGAAAGAGGGTTGGCTGTTTTGAATTTTATCAAGAGCATAAAACAAACCCCAAATAATATCTACTATTACTATCATTTTATAAAAGGAAGAACACTTCTATAGAAAAAAAAATCAAGAAGGATAGTCCTTTAAATTCATTTAATTTTTTAAAAAACATCTTATATTTCCCTGACTTTTCCATTTTGCCTTGACCCATTTTGGAAATCACCATCCAATTTTTGTTTCTTATAGAAAAATCCCTTTGAAGTTGAGGTATGAGGCTTGGGGTGTGATGGTGGTAGAGGTGGGCAGTCCGTTTTCAATCCATAAATAGTGCGTTTACATGGTTATGGCCACTGCATATATAATTCTGTATTCTCCTTTTATTATGAACACTTTCCTCTTATCACAAACTTTTAGGAGACATAGTTTTAAAAAGAAACTTGAATATTAATTCTTTGGATTATACCTTAATTTATTTCATCGTTTCCATATGGTTTCATTTTATTCCTGTTATGAACAATATTGTGATGAGCATAAAATCTCCTCATATGTTGGATCCTTTCTTTAAAGTGTATCACAGAAAGTTACTGACTCAAAAACGCATGGCTATTTTTAAAGCTATTGATTCCAAAGTAGCCAAGGCAATTTACACGCCTGGTGACAATGTAAGACACCCATTTGCCACTCCTGCTGCTCCTGATTTTCGTTCCACCATTAACCAAGCCAAGAACACAAAATGTGTGTATCAAAGGTGTATTCAGAATTTTAATAAAGGGTACGGGAAGAACGAGGAATACAGGCTCCTGCCATACTGTGCTGAAACCTTGGGCTCATGGGGCTCTAGGAATTGTCCTAACTGGATTCAAGTACCATTGTTTATTTTAAAAGGGTATGGTTGAGCTTTCATGTTCTGATTAGTCGTGAACTCAACTGTCTAAGGGGTGAGATTAAGTTAAAAAACAAAAAGAGGAAAAGTATAAGAATGATCTGAAATATCAAGACCCTCAACACTAATGATAATAAGAGCTCAAGCAATTATTAGTTATAAATATTGAATCCCTAAAAGACAGGAAAAAACTGCTCTAATTAACTCCTTACCTGATTAAAACGATCAGCTGCAAATTTTCTAATGGACTCAATGTCTTTCCTTTTGAAGTATTTCTGGTGAAAGAAAATCAAAGTAAACTCACCAATATGACACTTAGCTTCATAAACATGTTTATGATCAAATGGGATACAAATATAGTTTGTGCCTTTCCATCACAATAGGATTCAATAAAAATGTAATTCCTGCTGCCAAATGACAGCATTTTTAAGCTTGTTACAGGGCTTATTTTTTTCCAATTATGCAGGTCTCATTAGTAATCGCTGTGAGTGTATTTCATTCAATATAGGATAAAGGTTCAAAATGAATCTTTACAACTGAATTGTGAAAGAAAAAATAACTTTCAGATCAATAAGATGATTCAGAATTTGCTTATGTCAAGACTCCTTAAAATTCTTGAACTTTTTCTAAATTATTTCAATGTCTTTTTGAGACACTATCATCATAACTAATATTCATGGGGCACTTAACTAGCTCTGGAAGATACAAAAAGGTGGGAACAGGGTTTCCAACCCAGCAGTTCTTATAACCTACTTGGGGAAAGATGGACATCCTCAGATTGGAGGAAACAATATAAGCAGCATATGTTATACTGAGCTTAGCTGAGTACACTCACTGTGTCTGGACAGGAGCATGGACACCAAATTACTTTCCACCGAACATATGAAGTGAATAAAATGAGACTGAATTCTTATCCCCATTTTGAATATACTTAATATGCTTATATACCCGAATGAGTAGCCTTTCAAAATTGTCATCGTTTTCAAAAACCAACATACAAGGGTAAGACTGGGGTAAGACGAGCCTTTGGACAAACTGAGGCTGGAGGCAGAATGTGAATACTATTTCTTTTATGGTCATCACTGGTGGAAATGACCCCAAACAAAGCAAAGGAGTACTCCATAGCATTGTTCAGAGGGGAAAAAAAAAGCTCTAGATCTTGAGTGTAAACTCACATCCATAAGGTTTGATTGCTCTCTACTTACATATAGTTTCAGGGACACTGTTAGACTTGATATAAACATATATAATCTCATTTAAAGGGAATTGTTCTTTCTGAAGTTTAAATGCACCTATGCTGACCATACTTCCCAAACATATGTTCTAGAAATTCCAGAACTGGGCTTCGCTTACCGCTCCGCCGGGGACACGTATGGCTTTGATGGCTCCCCCAGGTTTACTCAGTGCATCCCGAAGAAATCCAACCTCTGTGTTTCTGAACACATCGCTGATATCTACAATCTGGCAAATGGGTCAAAAGCAAGGTAACTGAACGTGAAGTCATTTTTATCTCAAAACATTGTACAAACAAGATTTTAGAGAAGAAAGCAGACCTTGTTAACATTTATAGCATGCATTCCATTCATAGAGCAGTTACCATGGGTTGGGCACCATGACAGGTGTTAATGTACTAATGTAGTATTCACTAATTTCATCCGTAAAACAAGAGTGTGAGGTAGGCACTCTTATTTCCCCATTTAATAAATGAGGAAACCAAGGCACAGAAAAGGAAATAACCTGCTCAAGATGACACAGCTAGTAAGTCGCAGAGCCAGAATGTAAGCTAGGCCGTCTGACTCTAGAACCACTAGTCCATATTACAGAAGAAGAAACAAAGAGCGGAAAGTTGGCAGCTGTGAGTGGGCAGTTACGACTTTGTGTATTGCATTTTTTCATTCTAAGAACTGAGCACTGCCTATTCACAGGCCTGGCAGAACTCAATTTCTAGGGAAATTGCAGTGAGAACAGATCCAGAACTGTCACCAGCATCACAGACAGAGGGCTGTTGCTCTCTAGAGCAGATGAGAGGCTCGCTAATGGGAACTGCTCCGTTTACACTCCACCCTTACCCTTAGTTAAACATGCATGGACCTTAATCATTCGAATAACCATTTCCATGTTTGAGCTCTTTGAAGACCAAGGGAAAAAGAATAACTCTTAATCATTTGCCTTCCAAGAGCCATTTTAGCTTAAGAAAAATAGAAGAGGAAAGAATAGGGTTTTTTCCTTTCAAGTTACCATTCATGCTCATATGATTAATAACTTGTCAGTCATAAAAAGTTTATAGCAAGAGCCTTGCTCTTGGAAATGGGTCTTGGAATACAGCAGGTAGAAACGAGGATTGTGGTGCTAACACAGTATTATCCTCTCCTGCTGTAGCTTCATAACAACAAAAGAAGCTAAAGTAACAACAAAAAAATATGAGAAACAGTGTGTGTAACTGGTTGTAGATTTCAAAGTGGTTCAAAAGACTGCAGGACTATTTAGAGGCAGAGGCCTGGAAAGGTGACAAGAAAAGTACCTTCATCCCAAAGCGAGTGTCAGGCTTATCAGTTCCATAGCTGGCCAATGCCTCAGCAAAAGTCATAGAAGGAAAAGGAACTCCCAAAGGGCCTTTATCATCAGGCCAGGAATACTGGAGCAAACCCTCAATTAGTCTCTGGATCCCGGTCTGGTCTACAAAAGACATCTCTATGTCAATCTGAAACCAAATAACATGTGGAAACTAACTTGAACAGCCACAATATTAATAGATACACATTTATGTATTTCTCTGGTTTCAAGTTACCATAGGATTCTGTACATAATACATGGGAGGGGGGATAAATATTATTGTACATCTGTTTTATGTCAGGTACTCTGCTAATGCTTCAAATATATCAACCTGTTTAGTTCCCATGACTATCTCATGGTTAAGGCTCAGAGAGGCTACAGTAACTTGGTCTGTACGTGTATTTAGTAAGTAGTAAAGCTACATTTGATCCCAGGTCAGTCTACCTTCAGAGCTTATGGTTTTTGTGCTTCACCACACTGATTAATATGCTATCATACAGAAATTAAATCATAATAGTTCTGGTGAGCCCACAGGATTAGAGAAATAGATTAAATATCAATATACAGAATTGTTGGTTCTTAAAGCAGAAGAGATGTTTTGAGAACTTAATTGCATCGTGACCATTAAAACACTAGGAATCTCTGGCATTCCTTATGCCGTATAAAAAGGACACATTAAATAGATAAAAAATTACATAATGCCTCAACTTCAGGTTAGTTTCATTAACTATCTGGTGGATAAAATGCAATGAGAAGTAAAGTACATGTAATTACTGTCTGGGCCTGGAAATATTTGGCCATGGCAAGGCTGAATCAGTAAGAGACGAGTGACTATAACCTAATACCTGAGTGAACTCGGGCTGTCTGTCTGGTCTCGAACCTTCATCGCGGTAACATCGGGCAACCTGAAAATATCTACAATTGAAAACTAGCATTAATTGAGTCATGATTCTAGGAAGACATACATCCTTTTCCACAAAAGTTCAGGGCAATGCAGCTATGAAATACATTACTAATGATACCTAAAAGACATAAAAATTTAAAAATCCTTCGTGATGCTCTAATCAGATACGTAGCTGACCCATGAGAACTGAAGTATACATTGCTTTAGAAATAGACAAGGGCACCTTTGGCTCTTCACATATTAGGCTGGCGTGCAAGGCGCTCCATGCTTCTTTCTGCACTGTTTAGCTTTGGCCAATTGGAATACGTGTTGCTCCGTAAGTACACTTGAGCTTTCCTGAGCTCTGCCATCCCACTCATCTTCATCTGCTGAAATGCAGCTCTATCCCAGAAGGCCTTGCTCAGAAGGTTTTTTATAATATTTCCCCAGACAACATAATTTCAAACCTTAATACCTACTTCACAACTCTCAATGCACTTATTTCTGGTTTATATCACAGTTGGTTTTATTATCCTATTCTGTTTTACTAGCTTTATTAACTCCTTGAGAACAAAACCCATTCTTTCTTGTTTTGAATTCCCTGCTATGTGCCAGCATAGAGCTCTGCACATGGTGGCCACTCAATACATCTTTACTAAATAATGACAACAGACGTTTAGGGCATTTTGCAAGTATTTTCCAAATTCTCCATTTTCTAACCTTCTTTTAAGGGATCAGACAATTTTTTCCTGTCCCCCTCCCCTTTCCTTTTCTGAACAATTACTAGCATAAAGAAAGCTCACCTGTCTATACCACCAACCATCAGAAGCTGCTTAAACTGTTGAGGACTCTGAGGGAGAGAATAGAACTTCCCAGGTTCCCTGGATGGTATTACAAACTCTTTTGCACCCTTTTAATGAGAGAGAGGGAGAGCAGAGATAGTATTTAAAAAAAAAACACAATCCTAAGAACTGGTGCAAGTTGATACTTCAGCTCATCAATGAAATTAACAGCAAAGTCCCCACAATGACAGATCATCTCTTGCTCATCTTTTAGTGCCCCAAAAAGCTTGCACATAGTAGGCATTAAATAACATTTGGATATTGTAGGTATTAAGTGAATGTTTGTTGAAAGGAATTCCCAATTCTGTTACTAGCTAAAAGAATTTTGTGCATCAGTTCCTATTCAAGTATTTCCTAACTGCTTTTCTAAATTATAGTTTTATAAGTCCATAGGTTGTGTAAATAGATTAAATATCAAGGTTTAGAAATGTCAGTTCTTAAATGAACAATGGATTTATGTTAAAGGAACCAATTCATTATTGATTTGCATCTATAATCTATAAACCTCAAGGGAAAGAAAACTCATGTAGAATAAAAGGATTCTGACTCAAAATACTGACCCATAAAATTTTCTCAACTCTTAAAAAAACATAGTTAACGTGTCTGTTCAGAGGCAGTAAAATAAATAAAAGAAATACAACTAAGTGACTATAAAAACAAAGTGGTCAGTTTCATAATGAATAGGACATTAGTAGACTGATTTAAGGAATACACATACCCCTGGAGTCCTCTTAAACAGTGTTGGTGTCTCTACATCCACAAACCCTAAAAAGAGAGAAACATCTGAATTTAGCAGATAGGAATTTGTCAAATAGAATGTCTGTGATACAGTCCAGCAAATCTGAGGTTTCCCTTTAATTAAGAATTTCGACTAAAATAAGTTACCAAGCCTACAGATGCTGGTTTCTACAAACCCAAGAAGGAAGCTGAAGATTTTCCTAAAATCCTATTCTGTTCCTAAAGCTGATAATTTTGTCATGAAATAATTCTAACTATTTGATGGATTCTTGTCTACTAAACTGTTCTGGTTTTCTAAATGTTCTGCTAGTAGAGTAAAAAGAACACAAATATAGTAGGAAAAACCCTAGCACTGCTTAAAGAGTCTAGTTTAATTCACGTGACATTTCTGAGCTCACAACAAATGATATATAAACATGATAATGAATTAAAAATATATATACCTAACAACCCAACAGTGGTCCCACCTTCACTGGTGATGGGAAATACTTAATGTAACTTAAAAGGCACAATCACCTTTAAAAGGCTGTATTTGTGACCCAGTTGGGAACTAAATTGTACTCTAGGACAAAACCCCTAGATATTAACCTTCAAAAACTGCTTTACACATTAAGTGAATGCCACACCTCTGGCAACATCTGACCCAATGATGCTAAAGAAAGGATACAGTAGAACTGCAGAATAAAACAGAAGCAATGCTGAAGAGCTCCCAAGAGCTCGGAGGCATCCTCCTTACCGTGTAGATTACAGAGATATTCCCGCATTTTCATGACCATCTGGGACCTCAGCCGCAGGTTATACTGCATTTGGAAACTACGCAAGTCTAAGTAGCGATACTGCAAACGAAGAGCTTCTGTTTTCTAAACAAAGGTAAAGATTTTTATGTTTAAATATTTTTCCAATATTAAAAAGATACTAACTTTGGATACAGAGTTTGAATATCCAAAAACTTTAGCTCTATCTTAAGCTTCTAGCATTTGTGTAAATACTGCCATCCTTAATTCCTAAAATATCCAAGTTTGTTACTAGTACAGATTTTACATTTGTTACTACTCGTCAGTGTTAGCATCACCCTTCACCGATTGAAATTTGTCTACCTTACTAAACATGTATCCATTCACGTTGGCCTGTAGTTGAGTCTTGATTTTAAAGATCTTTTAAAAATATACACTGGAGTCAAAAACAGGTATGACTTTATCACCTGACTGGGACTCCAAGTGTAAGAAATGCAAGGGGACAGCAGAGGACTCTGCATGGCTGTCCTAATAGGAACACAGTGCGGTTTGCTTATTCTCAAGGCTGTAAACCTCTGCATCCCTCTTTGTGCTGACTTTTAAAAAAAAAGTAATTTCTAGCTGCTTTTCTAAGTCAAACTATAGTTATATAAGTCTGTAGATTGTATAAGTAATTATCAAGGTTTAATTTGAGTAAACTCCAGACCTTTCCCTGGAATAGCTTATTTCTTTGATACTCGAAGTAGAAGAGCTGTCACTTCTCTTTCTGAAATCTTAACTGTGTATTTCCTTTTTTTCCCCCACAAAAAGGTCAGCTCTAATTATATTGTTTTTTCTAATTAAAAGATTAGTATTGGGAACTTAAGTATTGGGATCTTACATGTAAGACTAAGTGACTTTGCAGTTAATTTAAAAATCCCTTTATAGATCAGTTTACAAATTAGGACTGTGCAGGCGTATAACTTGATAATTGTGCCAAAGCTAAAAATTACCTGGGCGCATTTACCCAGTGCTATCTAGCTTCATCAACCCTTCAAACTTTGCTAAAGAGCATCCTAAATTACAGTAATCATATTTCTATGCTTGGGAAGTCAAGCCAACCTCTTATCACTGTTAGAGGCTTAATAGACGCAGGATCTTCTATGCCATTTGGCCATTTCCAACCTAGACTTCAATTTCTTTTCAAAATGTAAAACAATAACAGCAAAAAAAGTCAACAAAATAACACCCCAAGTCTTAAAGACAGAACCATGTTTCCTTTTTTTTTTTTTTTTTTTTTTTTTTTGGGGAATTGGGATAAGGGGAACAGACAAGTTGCTTGTCCTTTTTAGCTGAGCCATCCTGCCACCTGTTGGCAGCTCAGCTCAGGTGGGACTCGAACCGCTGTTGCTCAGAGCTCACATTCTTGAGTGAGCTCTTAACCAACTGAGCCACCCAGCCAGCCCTAAGACAGAACCATGTTTCATTCAAGCTGTCTGAAAAAACAGTCTAGGTGTTTCAGAACTGCAAGCTTAATGAATTGTTACCATTTATGAACAGTTTGCCAAGAAATTTTATATCTAACAGAACAATTCATGATATATCTGTAACAAAATGCTTTGTGTTCTAGAAGTTAAAGCTTTCTTTAAAAAACTCTGAGAACACTTCACTGGTCATCAACAGATTCTAGATTATTCTATTAATAAAGGGGGATGGCACCTTTACAAAGTCCTTAATTTCAAAGGGCAGCTTCTTGCAGGAATTCAGAAGTTCAGCTGTCTTAACCTTGATTTCAATCTCACCTGTTGCCATTTTCTTAAAGAGAAACAGAGAAAAGACCTATTTTCAAAATCACTCATCAGGATGCAGTGAACATTTGTAAAACACATGACTTATTTACATATGTAAAGTGCACGGTGCTTATAGTTTAAATGTCTATGCATGATTTTGACATTCTTATGCATATTGTGGCTGGTGTGACTCATTGTTAACAAATGTTTTAATGCGCATATTTATATAGGCGTGTGTGTCTGTAGTGAAGATCTTGAAATCTAAGTTCATTCATAGAATTCACAGAACTTTAGTGTCTCATGTCCAGTAGGTGCTCAGCCTGTGTTGCCTGAATGTGTAGACAGACAGTGCGAATGGATGTAGGTAAAATTCACCTAAACAGTGTCGAAGGTACTCACTGGGTTCTCTTGTCCTGGAGGTCGGGAAATTACTGTCCCAGACACTTTCACCACAGATTCCACGGGGGCTTCACATAAAATCTTCTTCACAGAAGCGGCCGACTACAAAGTAAGAGGGGAAAACAGTTCCAGAAAACAAATGAGGTTAAGGCAATCTGTAGTAACTAGTCTATGGCTTAGAAAAATGTGAGTACTCATATAGCTTAACTGCCATAATACTGGCGCTGCCATTAATGACTTTATTAAATAATTTGGTAAATTGTACCCCCATTTTGACTCCATTTAATACAGCAAGTCAAACTCTTAGTTAAGAGTTTGAAGTTTTTTTCCTTAAAGGAAAATAAGGAGAACGATTAATGCAAAAAAGTCCCACATACTTTAAAGGCAGAACTGTCTCAGGGTTAGTCTTAGGGGCGGTTAAATCCAGGGGCATAATGGGGTCCAGAGGGAAAAGAGCTCTCCTGGGTTAGCTACGTTCCTCTCTAGACCCTGACCCCTGGAAGATAATTCACCACTCTGTACTTCTCTCAAACACTAAGAGCTGAGTAAATTATATTTTTCCTAGGCATACAGGCATTTGTAAATATCACCACAGTAGACACAAATGTCACCCAATAATCACGAGACTTTTAAAAATTTCAATGGTAATTATGTTTTGAGCAGGAAGTACCTTCACATGGCTCAAAATTCAGAGTACAAATAGATACACAGTGAAAATCTCCCCCCTATCCTCATCCTCCAGGCCCTTAGCTCCCTTCCCCAGAGGCACCCCGTGTTACTAGATACTCCAGGGACATGCCCCAAGATACACACACACGTACCCCCTTTTCAATACAGATAATAGCACTCTGCATACTCTCTTGTATCCCGTTTTTTCCATCTAACAACATACTTGGTTTTTTCCCTGATGTTAGTACTTAATGAGCTTCTTTAATCTTATTTCTGTGGCCGTAAGGATGTACAATTTTTTATACCAGTCTCTTATTGGGGAACATCTAGGTTCCCAATTTATTTTTCCTATTAAAAATAATCCTGCAATGAATAACCTTGTATTTAAGTCACTTTGTATTTGTGTAAGTCTAGGTGTAAGATAATTGTAAGATAATTGTCTAAAAGGGGAGGGAATGGTTCCAAGTGTATATGCGTTTTTAATTCTGATACTGCCAAATTGCCCTTTACAGAGTTAGTGCCAATCTGCACCACTCCTGGAAAGTATGGGCGCTTGTGTTCCCAAACAGTGTGCTGTCAATCCAGTTTGTTAAAATAACAATTCGGTGTAGTTATAATTCACAGTTCTCTATGAGTGGGGTTGGACATATTTTCAGATGACTATAAGCCATTTATATTTTCTTTCCTGTATTTTATGTTCATATCCTGGTTTCATATTTCTACTGGGTCACTGTTTTTTAAATTGACTTGTAGTAGCCTTTTAAATAGAGAAATTAGCCCTTTGTATTTGATGTGCTCAATAACAAACATTTATATAGGTGTGTATGTCTTAATATTGCTTATATGTTTTGTTTTCATTAACTTCTGAATTTCAAACCTCAAACATACTTAGCTTACTCTAACCACAGCATCAAAGATGCTTTCAGTCTAGGAAACGTATTACCTCATCCTGGGGAATGACAACTTGAACAAGTCCGTGGAAATCTCTTAGGACCAGGAAGATGTTTTGCCTGATTAATGAAGAAAATGAACATGTTACAATAAAATCTGAGTCCCGAATTTAAGCAAGCAAAACACATTAAACAAGCAAAAGACCTGTACAATTTCTCACATTCTTTTTTTATAATAATGAAGTGATCTCATTAGCTACAGTCACAAAATTTTCTATGTTGCTTATTAATGAAAAAAAGACTTTTCATTTTCAATTTCAATTTTTATTGGCTATATATACAGCTTACTAATGTTATTTAGGTGGCTTACTAATGAAAAGGAACATTTAAAATTTTTAAAAATTTTTATTGGCTTAAGTCTTTATAAGAAAATTTTATTAAATTTGGAAACTTTCCACATATTAAAATCCAAGATAATACTTAAAGGTATTAGAAACCTCTGATTGGTGATTTTTGAAATATAGCAATATAAAGTCTTTTCCTAAAAAAAGATATAATCTAAATTTTCTAGGAGTCCAACTACTAATTTAATACCTCCATAACCCATCAAAAGTTCTCCCAACTCCCAACATTTTAGTATTCAACCTACATTTCTCATACTTTCCTTAATACCAAGAAGAGATTCAGAAAGCCTCCTGAGATTTTGAGTTGAGAAGATAAAGTCAACAAATTTATGGGTTAAATATCCATCCATTTTGGACATGTGCTTTAGAAAGGTCACACAATCTATGTACTTTGGATCTCTTCATTGTGAATTAGTGTACAATTCAGACATGTTCTGGAATGAACAGAGATGAACAACAACAAAAAAATGGGCTCTAATCTTAAGGAATCATTGTTCTCCACCTAAATTTAGAACAAAATAAGCTTTTTCATGCTCTTGAAGCTTACCAGCTTACCCACTCCCAATTATTGGTCCTACAAACTGTTAAAACACAAATTTTAGCTTCAATGGTTGAAAGTCTTTTTAAAAGAAAGGGTTTATTAGGCCATTGCTAGCCAAAAAATAAAATAAAATAAAATAAAGACTAGTCTTGGGGCACGAAGTGTAAACCACCCGCAGCAGCACAGCTAGGTAGGAAAGACAACATGTCCATTATCGCGGAGTTTTGCAAGTATTTTTACACATCAAGTAGGGGGAAGAAAGATATAAGCCATTATGAAAGAATTTACATTAGCTATAGACAAAGAAAATGGGAGAAGGTGAAGAGGACTAGTTGGGGGATAGGCACAGAATCCATAAAAACTAATGAATAAACAAGAAGCAGAGGCTTCTGTTTATTCAGTGCCTGGCTATTCATTCTTTTTAGATAATCTTGGAAATTCACCTGGAAGTTGATTAATAATTCCAACATACACTAAGGAGTGTGACCAGTCTTTTGTTGGTTTTGAACTACAGTGGTTAACAGAGTAACCCCTTTTGGTTTCTTCCTTCCACCGTCCAGTCTGCTGTAATTTAATATGGGATGTCTCAGAATTTTTTCCTTGTCAGGACTCTTCAATCTTGGTAAGCCAAGGGACATTCCAGTCCACTGGTGGATCACACTTCATTATTATACCCTTCAACAGATGTTACTGGTACTTACTGAGTGACACTATTTGGGTCTTTCAAAACAAGACTGAAAAACCAATGAATTCTAAGAATCTTGCAGGAGTCGCAAAGCTTTTCTTCTTCTGATTGGTTGAAAATGAATGAAGGTTTGGAATTGCCTTAGGAAAACAACACCATGCATTTTTAAACCATCTGCCTCAATTTACCTTCGGTATTGAATCCATCCACACAAGGTGACTTCTTGGCCTAAGTGAGAAGACCGCAACTCACCACACGTCTTGGTCCGGGCAACAAAGCTACTGAATTCTTCAAAAAAGAAAAGAAAAAAAAAAAAAGCAAGATTATATATGTCATTTGCAAACTACTTAAAAATAAAGACTCACATCACATCATTTTAGGCCTTTCACGTCGATGGATAAAATTTATAAAGTAAGTCAAAGTATGTCATTTGCTTCAATCACTTCAATTTACCTGGAAATATGTCAAAAGCCAAGAGAATAACTGTCTTCATGTAAATTTTTGCCTTAGGTTAGGAAACCTGATTTTTTTGATCACCTAGCATTTGCATTGACCAAAAGTTACCCTATTCTTAGTAGGGCACATTTCTTCCCAAATGAAATAGGATCTCAGGAATCACAGAAATGTGATGGTGCAGTCGCTAGCTTAAGTGTGAATCTAGAGCAGTGGTTCTCAACCTGTGGGTCACGACCTCTTTGGGGGTCTAACGACTCTTTCACAGGGGTCGCCTAAGACCATCGGAAAACAAAAAGATATTTACATTACGATTCATAACAGTAGCAGAATTAGTTATAGAGTAGCAACAAAAATAATTTTATGGTTGGGGGTCACCACAACATGAGGAACTGTATTAAGGGGTCGCCGCATTAGGAAGGTTGAGAACCGCTGATCTAGAGTGAAACAGTCATGCGTACGCTGAGAATACACGAAAGTATTCTCAAGTGTGAACGGATTCTTTTGGCTTAGTGGTGGCATCAACTAAAAGGAGAATAGCCTATCTATGTGGCCCCTTTACTTGTCTTTTTAAACTCCAGGAAAAAAAAACTACATTACAAGCAATGAAGAGGATGAATGATCTGCTTCTACACATAAGGCCATCCAGTTAAGACGGGAGGCAAAAGGGAGTAAGAGAGTCCTCTGGCTGTGGAGTGGAGGACAGGAGGCAGTGCTGTTCCAAGGACAAGAGCTGTTCACTGCGATCACCTGGAATTCTCCTCTGTGAACTCAGCACCAGACTTCTGGAGAAAGAACCCCAGATCAGCCGGTTGACCCTTCCGGTGGGTGTGACTACACCCGGGTTTAGCAGCTTTAACCAACAGAACATGTTGGAGCCGCAGGATGGCGAGAGACGCTCACGAAGCCCGCACTGCCGGTGTTGGATGGTGGTCGAGTCAGTTTTGGAAATGCACACAAATCCCTCAAAATGCTGGCACTTTCCCACTCTCTTCGGTATTTAAACCCTTCTCCGCTGAACGTTCAAGTACACGTGTCTGAAAATTAGATCGATCGGCCAGGTCTTTGGGGCCCTTGGGGGGTGGGTAGGTTTGCATCAGTTTCCACTTATGTCAACAAACACAGCCGCGGCTCGAAGCGTGAGAACGACCCCACGGCAGCGCAAGGCGGGACCCCGCGAGCGCGCAGGCACCGAAGGGGCCTGTCATCAGACGCACGCCCTTCTCTTCCTTCCACGCGTCCCCGGAGGTTCCCGCGGGCAGAACCGGAAAACAAGAGGAACTCGGACTCTCGCGTTTCAAAGCTCCCAGACCTGGCGGCCAACCTCAGATCTTCAGAAAGAGGAAGGAGGGCAAATCCAAAACGTCCTGAGGGCCCGAACCCACGAAGAGATGGCCGGGCGGCGGTGGCGGGGAATCCAGCGCTCCGCAAACGGCCCGGCGAGCGCCCGAGATTACGGTGAAGGCATTCAACCAATCAGAACGTAGGCGCCGCCGCCATGCCTAGTGCGGGCGGAAGTTGGGAGGAAAGCTTCGCGCCTCTAGAAAAGCTGTGGAGCAACGGCCGCACGCTGCGGAAAATCGGCGATAATAGGTCGCTCGACTGTGCCCTCAGTTAAAATGGCTACCCTCGTTGTTTCATTGACTTGGAATCGGCGCCCAGTAGGCTTCCTGCGTTGGGCCGCAGAGCGAGTCGGGAAGCGAATTTAAACTGAGCTGGCGGCTGCGGGGTAAATTGAGGCTTCTGAAGGGCGGGTTTTCGCGGCTGGCCTTGGCCCCCAAAGATCTCAGGTGGAGAGGGCGACTTGGGACACACTGTCCCTTTCCTCCTCAGAGAGGCCGCCTCCTCAGGAGCGAGGGTCGCAGAGCTGGGTGGCTGGGTCAGAGGAAATGTCCCGCCGGGGTGACGTCGCAGGGCTCGCCTGGCATCTGAGGGAGCGGAGGTCTCCTTACTGGGCACGTTTTGTGTCCCTGGTGACCCCGCTTGTGGAGCGGGAGGGAATTGGGGAGGGCCAGGTGTTCCTCCGGTCTCTCTTCTTAGCTGCCACTTGGGCGGCTTTTTTACTACAGGGCGGATTTCAGTCACGACGGAGCTTTGGACCCAGACTTGGAGAATGATTCGTGAAGCCGGCTTGGGTGACAGCGTCATCACAGCGTTTCACTGGTAAGATGCTTTGATTGACCCAGGACTGGCAGTGAACTTGTTACGGGTTTCGCCCTGTTGTGTGGTCATTATCTTTACAATACTTGTGTTTTGCTGCGTGTTTCACACTGAGCACCGGGCTCCGCCCTGGCTGTGGGGCAGCTGGCTTCAGGGATCGGTAGTCACGTAGGAAAGTGATTGAGCTCAGGTTCCTGCACCGACTTAGCACAAGGAAAACAGCGAAGTTGCAGCTGTGTGTGATGAAGTGCGCAGTTGGCGGGAGAGCTGGCTAATTTTAAAACTTTGTAAAAATATTCAATAAATTACCGGGGCTTTGAAATTTTAGTTCAGCATAGTTGTCTACAATATTATGTTATATTAGTTTCAGGTGTGCAATACAGTGATCTGACACATACCTTACAATGTGATCATCCCACTAATTCTACTACTAATCGTCTATCATTATGCAAATTTACCGCAATATTATTGACTACATTCGCCTTCACCACCGCCCGCCCACCCACCTTCTCCCTTCTGGCAACCATCAGTTTGATCTCTTTCTATACGTCTTTTTTTGTTTTGTTTGATCATTTATTTTGTTTTTTTAGATTACACATGTAAGTGAAATCATATGGTACTTGTCTTTCTCTGACTTATTTCACTTAGCTTAATGCCCTCTAGGTCCATCCATGTTGTTACAAATGGCAAGATTTCATTCTTTTTTTTTTAATGGCCGAGTAATATTCCATCGTCTATCTTGTATCACATCTTTATCCATTTATCTATTGATGGGCACTTAGGTTGCTTCCATATCTTGCCTATTGTAAATAATGCTGCAATAAACATAGGGGGTGCAGATATCTTTTTGAATTAGTGTTTTCATTTTCTTCCTGTAAATACTCAGAAATGGATTTCCCAGGGTCAGATGGCAGTTCTAGTTTTAGTTTTTGGAAGCGCCTCTATACTGTTGTCTATAACGGCTGCATCAATTTGCAATCGCACCAACAGGTGGAGGGTTCTTTTTTCTCCACATCCTTGCCAGCACTTGTTACTTGTTGTCTTTGATGATAGCCAATCTAACAGGTGAATTGCTCTCAATTCAGCAGGATAGGTAGGGTACTTTCTTTTGTTTTCCAGTAGATGGTGCTATATACATGCAAGTTCTTGTTTTATCTGCTCTATTTGAGCCTTTGAGATTGCCGTGCAGCGGCGACGCTTAGGTTAAGAAAAATGCAGCTGGGGTTGCGGGTGTCCCCTCTGTGACTGGCTGGCCTCTGTGATGGGGCACCACCACTGTGGTGGGGCAGTGTGGCTGGTGGTGGAGAACTGGTTTTTCAAGTTCCCAGAGCTACCTCCCTTTTTCGCTGTTTTTGACTTTGGCTGGTCGGAGTCTCAGCTCTTCGCACTGCTGTGTTGGTTACAGTTTCCCAGCCATCTCTACCTGGCGATAGTAGTGGGGTAGGGAGATGCTTTTTCCAGGAAGGAAGCTGCATCTGTCCCTGTTACACTCCAGGCCATAGTGTGAACAAGAAAGCTTAAGAAAGAGAATATGGACCAAAATGAGCGGTACAGACTAGGTGACCCTGTGGGCTGGTATATTAATAGTGTCCAAAGATTTTATAAAACATTCTTGAGGGATTTTGTCAGGCCCACCTGGAGGGCTTTTGGGCTTTTAAAAATATTTATCCCCGTTATCTCATTGTACATAGACACCCACTCACTGCTCCGGAGGAGTGAGCCACTGATATAGGCATAGGTATTTTGGGGGGAAAAGGTAAACAAAACCCTACTACTTGAAATTGGATTAGATCAAGCAGGATCTTAAAAGAGGCAGAATGAAAAAAGGACTTTTCCGATTGGGAATATAGTTAACAGGCAAAAATGTGAAGACAAGAATATGTTTATGTCTAGGAGCAGTAGAAGGATAAGAGCAAGCTGAATTATGAAAGATCTTAAATACAGAGCAGAAGAGGAATTTATCTCATCATTGTAAAGGTTTTTGCACAGGTGTCTAGTAATAAATTGCCATTTCTGAAGAATGATTACCACTAGATATGGAAAACGCTTAGTTGCTGTGATAAGAACCTGGCTAAGGAAGTAGTTTTGGGAATGGCTTCGAAGGAAAAACTCAAAAGAACGTGTTTAATGACTACGCATTAAAGAATGAAATTGGGAGACCACTTAAATGAATTTAAATTAACTTAGAAAATTGACAGGAATTTCAAAATGGACCAGCTAGGTTTTGGAAGGAGGAGGAGTTGAATTTAATTTTGAACATACTGTGTTTGAGTTATCTGTAAGATATTAACAAAAATAGCCTGTAGCCAATGAGAAATACTGGGCTTGGTTGAAAAGTCAAAACTGGGGTCAGAAAGGGGGAGGGAGAGAGAGAATTCCTTTATAGTGAAGAGAGGAATCTTCGAAACTGTGAGCGTGAATTAAGTTTCTAGTGTTTAGAATTCTGGTTTTATTTCTTTTTATGTAGATCATGGATTCTTATAATGCACCAGAATCGACTCCCAGACAAAGTGGACCGTCAGGGGTTAAAGATTACTTTATAGGTGCCACCCTTCTGCAGAAGCGACTAGAATCAGCCAAGAAGCTGACTTCAGTTGTCCCCACTCCATCTCGAAGGAAAGTTCCCCAGTGTTCACAGTTGCAGGTATGCTTTTTCTTCCTGATACTCAGTAATTGAGAATATATGTGAACAAAACATTTCAGTTTTTTTTACTTTTCTTGTATTTTTAGTATCTTTTTAATCCTTCAGGTAATGAAATAAATGAGAGACAGCTAAAAGAAACAATTGTTCACACTGTCAGTACCACCGCTGTTATGTCTTTTAACCTCCTGTAGTCTGGAACACTTGCACAATATTTCTTTGTTTTTTATGACATTTGAAAAGTATAGTTTCCTACTCTCCCCTTTTTTTTTATTTATTTATTTATTTATTTTAGCTGAGCCATCCTGCTACCTGTTGGCAGCTCAGCGGCTCCTACTCTCCCCTTTTTAAATAGGATATTCCTCATTTTGTGTTTGTCTGATGTTTCCTCACAATTAGATTGGAGTTATGTATTCTTGGCTGGAATACTGTATTAGATGCTGTTGTGTCCTTAGGGAATGACACCTGGTGATGTCACGATAGGTGATGTTAATTTCGATCATCCTGTCAGGGTGTTGCCCAATAATTCCTTTATTCCCCTCTGCAGCTAATAAGCAGTCTGTGGGGGAAACACTTTAAAATAATGCAGATTTCCTGTTCCTTGTCAAAATTTCCCCATACATTTAACAGCCTTTGATAATTTTTGCCAGATCCCATCTTTATCATGATGGTTGCGAAATAATGATTTTCTTGTCAATGTGTGCATAGTATCTTTTAGGATGTGAGAAATTTTTTATTTCTATGTGGAAACTGTCTTAAACAAAAATGACTAGTGCTGGTAATGAAAGTGATAGTTTCTAACTAAAAAACAGAAATTGTATGTAAATTAAAGATTGGAATGTCCAATTCAGTGCTCACTTATCTCTGTGAGACAAATAATTTTGCCGTACTTTTTGATAGTAATAAGAAAAAAGTTTATAACTGTTTCCGTGAATACTCTAGCCAGAGCAAATATTTTTGTCAAATAGACAACTGTAGTGAAAGTTCCATGAGATAGTTGGAGCTGTGAGACTGTCAGGAAGTGTGGATTCTATAGAAAAATTCAATTCAGGATAAAACGAGGAGCCTCTAGGGTATCTGTGAAGGCCCTCCATAATGCCATGGGGCTCATACAGATGAAGTGTTTTTGTTTTTGATGGTATGTAGTTCTATTAGAGCATGGCCGAAATATTCCCAAGTATCTTTTTATTTAATCCACTGAATTAGGCATTGTGTCAGAGTGGATTTACTGCCAAACAGTTTTAAAAGTTAATTAAAACCAATCAAATTAGTTGTGCTAGGAATAATTAGTATTTTCAAAATCTATAATTTGAAGTTTCTAAAAGTCAAACATCATTGTTCATCCAGTAAGTATTTATTGAACACCTGTTCTAGATGGCCTCTTGCTAGGAGCTAGAGATGTAGTAATGAATAGAATAGACAAAACCCCTGTTTTCATCAAACTCATAGTCTAGTAGGGAAAACAGACAGTAAAAATCAGACAGATATATAATATCAGATAGTGATAAGTGCTGTGAAAAAATAGAACATGTTAAGGAGCTATAGAGTGACAAAGTTGGAGTGGGTGCAAGTGCTACTTTAGAGAGGGTGGCCTCTTGAGTGACATTTGGGCAGAGACCTGATGGAAGGAAAGGGACATGCTGTCCGAAAGGCCTGTTCAAGAGTCTTCAAAGAATCCTGCAAACTCTGGTTTGTCTGGAGTACAACGCTCAGGCACCCAGTTATAGGTTTGTATTGAATACTTAAAATATTATGGTTAAATCCTTATTTACTGAAATTTCCTAATTCTTAAACTTTGGTCATGATTTTTTTTTTTTTTTTAGGAAGATGCTGAACTTCAAAAGGTTGCATTCCTTCTGCATAAGCAATGGTCTTTATACAGTGTAACTCCCTTATATAAATTCTCCTATACTAATCTCAAAGAGTATTCTAAACTTCTGAGCGCATTTATTGCTGCTGAAAAGCAAAAAGGCCTTGCTGTGCAAGTGGGAGAAGACCTCAACATCAAAGTGATTTTCTCTGCTCTGCTGGGAATGAAAGGAACACAAAGGGACCCCGAAGCGTTTCTTGTCCAGGTAGGTACAGTGCATAAGCAGCTCTTGCTTCCTAGTAGGGCGGAATCTGCATTGTCTTGGTTTGGAAATTGTATGGTTTTTTTTTTTTTTTTTACTGTTTTTAAAATTCTTAAGCTTGTGATTTGTAACCTCTTTTATGTCTTATTTGACCAAATTATAGTAATTAGATGTAGCCTACTTAAAAAAAGTTTCTTTTCCTATGACAATATAATCATATTTATTTCAGAAACTTAGAAAATATACAAAAAGTACAAAGAAAGTAAAAACCACAGTTTAACGTGTTGGTATACAGCTATTTGGCAACAAACAACCTGAATAGGCCTCTGTGTATTAAAGACATTGACTCAATAATGAATAACTTTTCAAAACAGCACCAGGTGCAGATAGGTTCACTGGTGAATTCTACCAAACATTTAAGGAAGAAATTATACCAGCTCTCTACATTCTCTTTCAGAGGTTAGAAGCAGAGGGAATACTTTCTGACTCATTCTATGAGGCAGCATTACCCTAAAACCAAAACCAGACCAAGACATTATAAGAAAACTACAGACCAATATCTCTCATGAACATAATACATCTACTTGGCTATCTGTAGCTATTAAAATGGGCTCGATCCTTCCGGAGTTCATAAGTGTGGTGTGTGAGATGTGCCTCCCACAAACCTTGTTACGACATCGGCACATTACCCGTCTGATGTGAAAAAATAAATAAAATAAAATGGGCTCATATTGCCCATACTTTTGCATTATGACTTTTTTACTAATACTCACCCAATGTTAGAGATCATTACTCATGTCATTAGGAATTCTACAGCTCTGTGGTTTTTACTAGGATTAAATTCCTAGTAGAATTTTAACAAATATGTAACATCATTACATATCGTGATATCATGCCAGGTTACTCTCAGAAATGTTAACATTTTATATTCCTTCCTATATGAGTATATAAAAGTAATACGAGTAAGACTAAATTTTGATTCATTAAGAAGCCAGATTTATTTTATTCATACCTGCTACTTCTGTTTCTTCTAACTCATCTTAGTCATTGATAAATTCTGACACAGTTGAACAGGCCTAATTTTATTTTTTTATTTATATAGATCAAGGGTCAGCAAACTGCGGCCTGCAGGGCCAAGTCAGACCTGCTGCTGTGTTTGTACGTCAGGTTCTATTGGCCCAGAGCCCCTTTCGTTTGTTAATGAATTATCTTGGGTTGCTTTTGTTCTGTAGCAGCAGAGCTAAGTATTTGCTACAGAGACCATATGGCCCACAAAGCCTCAAATATTTACTGTCTGGTCCTTTATAGAAGACGTTTGCTGGGCCGTGGGATAGATCATGGTATTGGCAAGGATCTCAAGATTCTTAGGATTAGACTCAGCTGCATGTAACAGAAAGCCTAAACAATAGTTAATTAAATAAGAGAGAGGTTTATTTGTCTTATAAAAGAGGTCTCCATAGGTAAGCTGTTCAAGTCTGGTGTATGCTTTATGATATTAATAATCTAGGCTCCTCTCTTTCATTTTTGGTGCATGGCTTCCATCCCTAAGGTCACCTTGTCGTCTAAGATGGCGTCCGGAGCGCTAAGTAGTGCGAGCAAGTTCCCAGCAGGCAGTAGGAGGAGGGTGGGAAAGGCAAATGGAATGCCTGACACGGAGTCATCTTGAAGGAGATGTGCTGAGACCCAGCAGCTTCTCTTTACATCCCAGTTGGAAGGGACACTAGAAAAATTTTGTTTTTTAGTCGGTACCTTGCCACCCCAAGTAAAGGACAGTTTTTCTGTGGAAGGAGAAAGAGATACTGGATAGACAGCAGTCTCTGCCAGGTAAAGCAAGCAGGTGATGCCTAGAGAAGTGAAGGGTCTGGTTGGCATGTCATCAGGCAAGCAAATGCTCTTGTAAGGAGTAGAAATAATCTCTTAAAATTTTTTTTTTTTTTTAAAGATTTTTATTTGGGAATTGGGATGGGAAGAGCACTGGGGAATTGGGTAAGGGGAACAGACAAGTTGCTGTCGTTTTGTTCTTCAGTCTAGTTGTGGAGGACGTTGCTTCACTGGCCCAAGTTGGCACCATCATTGCGCTCTTCCCGGGAGAGGCACATCAGTCGCTGGCTTCTGGATGGCCGCTCACCGTGGCTGCTGGCCGCTCACGCGGGCTGCTGGCTACACACGGTAGCCCATGGCAACCCACTGCCACAGCCACAGGGGCTGCAGCCTACACCGTCGCCGGTGACTCACAGCAGCCCAGCTCCAGGTTGAGCTGTTGTTCAGCATCTTAGCTGTGGAGGGCAGTGTCACTGGTGGGATCCGAACCGGGGCCCTCTGGCGTCCCAAGCCAGCTCTTAACCATCGCGCTACTCGGCTGGCCCAAATCTCTTAAATTTTTAATGTAATGTCCTAATCGTTTTCAAACTGTCGTGTCCTTGACAGGGTTATAGGACTCCTAAGGTTTAAAAGTATGACAGACATGATATATATGGGCTTTAAGGGATTTTGAGAGTCTCTTATATAATCTTTGAACAGGAAAAACTATGGTAAAAGGAACTGTTTAAGTAAGTGATCATCTTTAAAGGGATATGATACTGGGCCGTGCTCGTCAACTTTGATTCAAACATCTTTTAATATCTGGAAGGTATGTTTGTCGTGTAATTTACAAATATAAAGTTTGAAGGGTTAGTTAATCTGCTGGAAAATATAATTAAGATTCTAAAAGATCTCAGTGGATTGGCACAGCGGTCCAAATTGAAAGAGATTGAAATTCCAATAGGGATAAGTTTACTGCCTCAGTATAGGGTTGGCGGGGGGTGGGGTGGGGGAGTACGGATTTACCTATTAACAGCAAAAATGAATATGTAGAGTTAATTTAAGTAAAGCTGTCAACTACAAGCCAGAAAACTACTGCAATCTAAGATTATATTAGTAGGAGTATAATCTAGGTTAAAGATGGTGGCAGTCCTGTAATCAGACCTTTTTGAAGAAATTATGTTCACTTACGTTCACCCATTCAGCAAAATTTCAGAGAAGACTGACAGGATAGTGTGAGAACTTGTATGTATGTCGTAGGATGAATGGTCAAAGAAATTGGAGTTGTTGAACTTGCCCTACATATGATGGGGATCATCAAATATTTGAAGGCCTTTTCCTGTAGAAGAGGTTCGATTCAATTTGTTCTGTGTGCATGTAAGGAAGAAGGTAGGACCAGTGGGTGGAAACCACAGGGCCTCCCATATGAAATAACATTTCAAGTTGATAGAAAGAACTGCCTTAGGAACTAGTGAAGTCTTCTCCAGGCAAGAGTTTAAGCACGTTGCATTTGATGACCTTTACAGTCCCTGGTTATACCGTATTGGCATCCCTATCTTGCATTTTGGTTGTACGAAGATCTTGCCATATACCATGTTTCTAGTATATAAGAATGTTAGAAAAAAACATCAATTAACTTGATAAACCCTAATAATGACTAGGGACACTATTCCCTCCTGTGCTTTTTGACAATTAATAGAACATAACCTTCTTATTTTGTACTAATGTGCTAATTAATTTTGAGAAGATGTAATTCAGGAGTAAGTGTACGTTTGAACTTAATTGAACCTGTTTTTCTTTTTTGTAGATTCTGTCAAAATCTCAATCGCCCTCTGAGAACAGCAAAGGTAAAGTGTTGTGGACTGGTTGGTTCTGCTGTGTATTTGGAGACAGCCTTCTGGAGACTGTTCCAGAAGATTTCACCTGTCTACCTTTATTCCTTGCAAATGGAGCAGAGACTAACACAGCCATCATTGGAACCTGGTTTCAGAAAACTTTTGACTGTTACTTCAGTCCCTTGGCAATCAGTGCGTTTAATCTTTCCTGGATGGCTGCTATGTGGACTGCTTGCAAAATGGACCATTATATGGCTACTACGGAATTCCTGTGGTCTGTGCCCTGTAGCCCTCAAAGCCTGGACATTTCTTATGCCATCCATCCAGACGATGCAAAAGCTTTGTGGGACAGTGTCCACAAAACACCTGGCGAAGTTACCCAGGAGGAAGTCGACTTATTCATGAACTGCCTTTATTCCCATTTCTATAGGCATTTCAAAATTCATTTATCAGCCACAAGATTGGTTCGTGTTTCAACATCTGTAGCTTCAGCACATACTGATGGAAAAATAAAGGTCAGTATGAACAAATTTAGTTAGGGAATTTTTCTTCATTGCATAGTTTTCAAAATGTATGGTAATTGCATTTTTCACATTGAAGAAACATTTGAATGTCTGCCAATTCCAGACAGTAGAGAGATTTTATTTTCTGCTTCATAAATGATTTATTCAAAAGTCTTCAGCCTTCTAGATGCAGCTTCATTATGGAAGGAGACTAGATGCTGTGTGCTATGGATTTTGGTAACAATATGAATTATTCCGTAGTAACTTTGAAACTTTCAAAATTGTTTCTTGTCAAACTTTAAAATGATGATCAGATAACAGAGGATTGTATTAGATAAGAAAATTATAGTCAGAAACACAGAACTAAGATACCATCTTTATATTTCAGGCTTTTCTGTCCCTACTAGGAAAGAGATAATAGAGACATTGTTTTACTGTTTATGAAGTCCTTACTGGAGGAAGTATCAGAAATAAACAGAGAGTAGGCACTTAATTATTGGGTTGTTGGAAAAGTCATGACACATTTTTGCAATGAAAAACAGAAAAATACATCATGACTTTTCTGACAACCCAATATATTAAAATATGTTACTATATTTAAAATGTATTAAAATACAACTACAATAAACACTCCATGAATATTGGTTTTGTCACTGTGCTAGGAGTTTAACATATCTTGAGGTGTTTTTATCCACATTTTATTTTTTTTTTATTTTTTTATTTTTTTCACATTTTATTTTTTAAACAAGGAAACTGAGGCCAAGATAGGTTTAAGTGACACATGTAAGATACCTTAGTAAGAGGAGGTGTCAAGATCTGAATGTTTATCTCTTAGGTTCCAAATGTTCGTACTCTGCTATATGTACTGTATTAGTGCTTTTTAAATGGGAGGCGGTCACAGTGCAACAGTAGGTTGGGGAATAACTTTGATGGGAAGAGACCACCTTTAAAAAATAAACAAACGGGCTGGCCAAGTGGCGCGTTGGTTAAGAGCTGGCTTGGGACGCCAGAGGACCCCGGTTTGGATCCCACATATGAGGGCCAGTGACACTGCCCTCTACAGCTAAGATGCTGAACAACAGCTCAACCTGGAGCTAGGCTGCCTGGAGTCGCCGTCAATGGCATAGGCTGCAGCCCCTGCTGCAGTGGGTTGCCATGGGCTACCGTGTGTAGCCAGCAGCCAGCGTGAGCGGCCAGCAGCCGCAGTGAGGGGCCGTCCAGAAGCCGGTGACTGATCTGCCTCGCCTGGGAAGAGAGCAATAATAATACCAACATGGGCCAGTGAAGCAACGTCCTCCACATCTAGACTGAAGAACAAAGGACAGCAACTTGTCTGTTCCCCTTCCCCTAATTCCCCAATTAAAAAAAAAAAAAATCTAAAAAAAAAAGTGTCTTTAAAAACAAAAAAACAAAAAAAGAAATAGAAAATATAAAAACAGAGTGTATTACATGTGGTAAGGGTATACCTTTGTTCGTACTGGGTGATGATGTTAAATTTATTTTTTTACTATGGTTTACAGTAAAAAATTTGCAAGATTATACTACACTATGTTATTTTGATAATATAAAGGAAAAAAATTTATATTTTAGCACCTCAGAATTCAATGTTCATGAAGTCCTTATATACGGTATTTAAAAATTTTGTTTCCATATGCCCACACTATTAGTAAACTACATTTAAAAACTTATATGATGTATTCTTATCTATCTATGTATATGAGGGTGGTCCTTAAACACATGTATTTTATCTAATCTATTCTAAATTTAAGAGCCTGTCTTAATGATGTATGGCAGTAACTGCGGCTCCTAGGTTCAAATAATGCCATGATGATAGCTAACATTTATAAAGCACTAAATTGTGCCAGGCATTATTAAGCATTGTACGCATATTGTCTCATTTAGTTTTCACAACAACCTATATACATAGTTTACATACAAACTTACATAGGTTGTGAAGAGGAAACTAGCTCGGAGATTAAGTAGGTTCCCTCAGATAGATCACACAGCTGGTAAGTGGAGTTGGAATTGGAACCCAGTCATTTGACTCAACAGCTTATGCTTTTAACTGCAACATTGTACTTTGCCTGTCCAAAGTTTGAAATTAATGTATTAACCAGGTTTCTGCCATCTGCATTCTATAAGATACTTTTGGAATTATATATGCCTTTGAGAAGAGGAAAGTTATGGAACCTCTTTCTAGAAAATGTAGACAATTTGCATATAAGCTCTAGGGGTTCATAAATACCCCTCTTTCTCCTCACTCCTTAGTCAGCCCAAGCATGGGAACTGGAATAAATGAGAACCCCACTCTGATTACTTCTAAGCACCATTGACTGTAGTTGTAAATTTATTAAAGTCAGCAGTCTTTATTGAATAAAATGTATTTGACTTAGAGCAGCAATGGTTTGGGTTCATATTCATATCTTAGCTTGCAGATATGGAATTTAAAATAAGCCTGGACTATTGATCAAATATCAAACTGCTTTGTTATCATAATTCTATTTTAATTTTAAATGTTGTCTTTTTATTGTTTTTCTTTCAGATTCTGTGTCATAAATACATTATTGGAGTGTTGGCATATTTGACAGAACTGGCAATTTTTCAAATTGAGTGAGGACTTCTGGGGACTATAAATTATGGATTATATACCTTTTTCTCATTTATTATTTGCCTAACTGCTCAGCTGAGAGGGACTGCAGGAGAAATGGACGGCTATGTCTGCGTCTGTTTCCAACAGTACCTTTGGAGCTGCCCAGATGGAAGCCAAGAAGGATCTAGAAGAACAAAGAAGGGGGTAGTGGAAGAACCACAGCCAGGTGCTCGTATAATAGTCATGGTTACCTGGGATGCATCTCTAGAAAATGCTGAGTTGTTTATTGACCATCTTTTTAAAAAATGTGTAATGTTTAGTATGTCAAACTTTTAGGATTCAAATGAGATATCTGTGATATTGAGTATTTCTGGTTTGGGTCTTTAAAACCTTTAATCCCTTTTAAGCATTTTAGACTTGCATTCAGAGAGAATTTCTGTCTTCTAAAGACATTTTCCTAGCACCATTTTGCTGTAGAGAACTAGCAATAAAAAAAATCCTCTCCAAAGGAAACGAAAGATTACTTTTTTTAGCCATTAATATGCTTCTGTTTTTAATATTCAATTCTTATTGCAATGTTGAATTAAATATTCACTTTTAAAATGAAGCAGTGTGTTTATCAGTGTCTTGGTGATAGATCTTTAATTAATGTCTCAGGAATAGGAAGTCATGAGCCTTTTCAAAGGTTGCAAACCAAGAATTAGAATCATGCAAGTTGTAGAGTTGAAAGGCACTTGTGAGACTCTTTTGAGGGCATAGATTTTCTTGTTTAACTTTCAGGTGCCTAATTTTGCTTTAGCACAGTGCTTGGTAAATATCTGTAGATTAAATGAATTTTAATCAACTCTTCCATTTTATAAATGAAAGCTGAGACGCAGTAACTTAAGAGACTTGCCCAAGAGGTTATATCTAAATCTCTTCTTTTTACTGAGCATAGAAAGGTTTTGTTTTACTTTAGAAACAATGTCTTTAAAAATCTTGTTTGGAGGCAAGTAACTTTAATAGGTGGTCATTCTAAAAACAAAAGTTAACTTCTGGAGTGTGGTATTATTTCACATAAACTAGGAACAACAGAGGTAGTAGAAAAAGCATGGACTTTGAAGTCAGACATTTGTTCATTCAACTAATACTTAGAATTGTATTGGGTAATAGCAGTGAAGACAAAAAATATCTCTGTCCTGTGGAAATTATATTCTAGTGGAGGAAGGCAAAAGATAAATAATTCCATACGGAGATAAGTGCTCTAAAGAAAATAATGCAGTGCAATATGAAAGAGGTGACTGGGATAGGGCCAACTTTACACGCAGTTTTCCAAGGTCTTTGAGGAAGTGACATTTGAGCTGAGTCCTGAATGATGAGAAGAAACCAGCCATGTGATGGCTGAGGAAGGTATGCTAAGCAGGTGTAACTGCATGAGCAAAGGCCTTGAGACGGGTAAGAGCTTGGCTTATCTGAGGAAGGAAGGGAACCTGTGTGGCCGGAGCACAGTGGTGAAGAGTGGAGCAGTATGAGATGACACCGAGGACACTTCTTCCCTGGTGCTGTGTCTCCCAACTCTTGGCTGGGCACGTGGCTGCCTAGAATAAAGATGACATTTTTCCAGCCTTTCTCTTAGGTAGGTGCAGTCATATGACTTAAGTTCTGACCCATGGCACATATAAATGGAGGTGTCACGTAGAGCTTCCAGGAATCTTCCTTAAAACACAGCAGGCATGTACCCCCTGCCCGTTTCTTATTCTTCCAACTTTGCTGCTTGGAACGCATATAATGACTGGTGCTCCAGCTGCTCTTTTAGGTCACAGGGATGAGGCTCAGGTCCTAGGGACACAGGGGCATGACTGGGAAGGAGTGTGTGCCCTGAGGACTTTCTTGAAGCTGAGCCCCCACACCAACCTTGGATGGTCTTCCTCTAGACTTAACGTACGTGTCAGAGATATAAACTTCTATCTTGTTTAAGCTATTGTTTTTTGGGTCTCTTGCTCATAGCCAAACCTAAGCCCACCTGACACAGGCAGGAGCCACGTCATCTTAAGTTTTTATAAGTACTGTGAAGGGATTGGCTTTGATTCTAAATGCAATGGGAAGCCAGTGAAGTTTGAAGCAGGAGAATAATATGACCCAATTTGTATTTTATACGATATGAGGGAGAATGAGTTGTAGGTAGAGGAAGAGGAAAACAGTTAAAAGGTTCTTAGAAGTGGTACAACCTCTATGGAGAAGTTAGCTGTCTCTGTCAAAATGGTGTGATTTATCCTTGCACCACCAATCCCACTTCCAGGATTCAGTCCCCCAAATCACTGGCAAAAATACAAAATGAAGCATGTACAATACAAGGCTCTTTATTACAGTATTTGTGATAGACTAAACACAATCCAATACCCATCAGAGGCAGATTGGTTGAATAAATTATGGGTTAGCTGCCCAGTGAATTACTACTCTGCGACTATTAAAAGGGTTGAAGACATCTAATACTGCCATGGGGTGAGCTCTAGGAGATGTTATGTGGGAGAGCAAAACGTGGGCATATTGTTTAATATGCTGTTTTATGGAAGGAATGGCGGAATATTATGAGTATGTGTGTTATGCTTCCTGTTTTAAAAAAACAGTGGAAGGATAAACCAAAACCTAATAAAAGTGGTTACTAAGAGGAAGAAACTCGGTACAGGGGACAGGAATGAAAGATGACTTACCTGTATGTTCCTTATTTTTAGTTTGGACAATATTAAGTGTTTTATATAATTATAAAATAAAATTAGATAAAAAAGGAAACACCAAAGCACTCTTGAAAACTGAAAACAAATGAACTTAAATATAAGTTCGTGCTATAATCATAAATTATTTTCAGTATCTTTAAATACTACTTTTTTGACTGCTCATGGTTAGTGGGTTCTATCCTAGGAAAAGAAGAGCAGCAAAGGAATCAAATTGCATTTAGTTAATATTTTTATTAGTAATGTTGGTGTTGTTATTTTACTACTATAAGATGAAATAATGTATTATAACAATGTTAGGAACCAAGATTTTCCATGTAAGAGAAAAGATACACAATTATAAAATCAGGTAAGCTCAAGTAAAAACAGTAATACTAAATTTGAATCGGAAATATCAGAATGAACTTATTTATTTTTGAAATGCAAAAGTTTTAACTTTGATAAAGTTCAATTTATCAATTTTTTTATTTCCTATGCTTTTGGTGTTGTATCTAAGAAATCATTGCTTAACCAGAAGTCCCAAAGATTTACTCTGTTTTCTTTTAAGGATTTTATAATTTTAGCTTTTAAATTTAGGTCTGTAATCCATTTTGAGTTAATTTTTATGGTGTGGGTAAGCATCCAAATTCATCATTTTGCATATAGATATTCATTTGTTTCAGCACCACATATTGAAAGACTATTATTTTCCCATTAATTAATTGGCCATAGATGTTTGAGTTTATTTCTGGACTCTCAATTCTATTTTAGCGACCTATAATATGTCCTATGCCAGTACCACACTGTCTTGATTACTGTGGCGTTGTGTTTTGAAAGCAGGAAGTATGAATCTTCCAGCTTTGTCCTTTTTTTAAGATTGTTTTTGCTGTTCTGGGTCTTTTGCATTTCCATAAGAATTGTAGGATCGGTTGGTCAATTTCTGTAAAAAAGTTTAACTGGGATTGTGGTAGTTAAGTGTGTTGAATTTGTAGATCAGTTTGGGAAGTATTGCCATCGTAGTTATGTCTTCCAATCCATGAACATGGGATAGGATATCTTTCCATTTATTTAAATCTTTTCAAAATTTCCTTCAACAATGTTTTATAGTTTTCAGCAAACATTGCACTTTTGTTAAATTTGTTCCTAAATATTTTATTCTTTTTAATGCTATTGAGAATAGAATTGTTTTCTTAATTTTGTTTTTGGACTGTTGTTGCTAGTGCACAGAAATACAATTGATTTTATATATGGCTCTTGTATCCTATGACCTTGTTGAACTTGTTTTCTGTAGCATTTTTAGTGAATTCCTTAGGATTTTCTATATATAAGATTGGTGTCATTTGTGAATAAAGGCAGTTTTACTTTTTAATTTCAATCTGGATGTTTTTTATTTTTTCGTGCCAAATTGCCTTGGTTAGAGTCTTTAGTACAATGGCAGATATAAGTGGTAAGAATGTATGTCTCATCTTGTTCCTGATCTTTGTGGGAAAGCATATTAAACCATTAAACATGATGCTAGCTGTAGGTGTTTCACAGATGCCCTTTATCGGGTTAAAGTTCTATTTCTAATTTATTGAGGGTTTTTTATTTTGAACGGAAGTTGGATTTTGTCAAATTATTTTTCTGCATCTATGGAGAAGACTCATGATTTTTCTTTTACTTGAAACTACACATTTCACTTCTTCCCAGTTTCACGTGTAAGGAGGTTGGAAGTGGCTACTCTGTCCTTGCAACAAGTAAAACACTGAACAGTTGGAAAAATCCACAACTCTTCTTGGATACACAAGAGGGGAGGACACAGGCAAACAGACAGACAGGCGAATACAGGGTGTCACGGCGTAGCTGAGCAGTGACTCAGGAGCAGGAACCCTGTGGGAACCAGTGCCAGGGTAAGAACACCTGAACTGTAATTGATGAAGTGCTGGAGGCTCACTGTGGACAAACCCAAGAGTTAAAAACTTCAGGGGACCCTGTTAAGAGTTGTGGAAATCACTACGCAAGTAAGTTAACAAAATCCTCTATTAGACAGCAATGTCTTTATTGGAATAGTTACATTACACTAATAACCTGGAGCACCTTCGGTGGGGAATAGAAATACCCTTTGGCTCCAATGAACACTTTGGCCAGGGCTGTAGTTCCTGGGTCTCGTCTCGACTCACTGCCCTATGAATCGCTCCCATTGGGGACCTCCCTATTTATGGAGAACCTAACCCCTAGAATTTGGTTCCTGTTATCATTCCTCTCTTCTTTCAATAAAGGTGATAGCAGAGTCCTGAGTAATACGTGATTTTGCCTGGAAGACTGGCTGTTAAGGATGCAGTACTGTAAGGATCTCATAAATTTTTTTATGCTTTTTCAGTGTTGCTTATCAGGCTATTTAAAATTAAAGTCTGTTAGCATATTTAGTGCCAGGCCATGTCTCAGGTCGGCCTGCAGTGACAGTGTGGGCCAGAAAGAGAAACGGAGTGGGAGTTTGGGGAACTGATTTCTAATGCTGGTTCCATCACTTACTATTTACTCTAAGGAAGGACTTCCTTGGTTTTCAGCCGTAGAGCAAAGAAATAGATGGGTTTGGAACAGATGATTGTTAGGTGTCCTTCTAGGTCAAAAGTGTATGATTCTAAGACCTATACCAGAAAATAAGTTTAGTGGTTAGGTAATACTATATTAAATATTAATATCTATTATAGAAAATATTTGTAATTACTATAAAATAATGTAATATAAATATAAATATTGATGTTATATATTAAACTTTCATATAAAATTTTTTATGTAAAATATAAAAATTCATAATTCTAGCTGGCCATCCCTTTATTCCTTCAGGTTTGTGAAAGTACTTACAATTTTACATAAAGGAAATATAAATGATATTGAAAAATCTTAAATAGCAAAGACACAAGCATTAAACAAAAATTCTTATGGTAAGTACTATCTTTATTTAAAAAAGTTATACATGCTAGAAAAAGCATAAATGATACACGTAAACAATTGTTTACCAAATACTTATTTTTTTCCTTGTAAAGGTGCAAATGATTTTTAAATGTAAACACAAAAGTTGCCAAACATTTTTGTAGTGGGGGGAGGAGGACGGGAAAGGAGGTTATTCCTTTTGGTTGCGGATAAAGTCTTACTCAAAGATTTTCCTGCAAAATACATTGAAAACAATTGGTCTGTGAACACAATGACAAAAAAAATTTTAACCACTGAAATTTTTATCATGTTTTTCTTAGAACTTTTAAACTTTTCTCCTAAAAGTGCAATTTGAGAGAAGTAGGAACAGTGGCTTTATAGAATAAGGATAATGGCATATAGTTGTATAAAAGAACCAAGATATTATTAATAAAATGCCTCAATTGGTTTTATGCCCATTAGCATGTACTACTACAGGAACTGAAGGATTCATCCCTTGGAGGCTGGGATTACAGGTAAGCCTCAGCTTCAGCAGGCCTGAGCATCAAAGTGTAAATTGCATAACAGTATTCACTGCTGGGGAGAGGGCAGTTCTCCCTGCTGGTCCTTAGTAGCGGTAAGAAACGAGGAAGGAAAGTTGCTTCAGTCAGTCAGTAATGTTTTTGAGTAAAAACTTGCAGAGTTGCACATGATTCTATTGGGGATTCTCAAGACACTATCTGAGAATCATGGACTGTTTTTGTAGAGGCACTGAGCAGAGCTCTAGATCTAGCAGAAACTCTATAAAAACGTTATGAAAAAAAGACTTTACATACAACAGAAAACAAGGTCGTATGGAAGAAAACAAGATGCAAAGTTCCACTGATGAAAACTTTGAGTCCTGGTTTTACTGATTTAATTTTCTTTTTGAATTATACTATTTAAAATGAGATGCTTTTATTTTTTTTAGATTTTCAAGTCTTCTGATACTTAGTGCAAGAATGACAGCTAACTAATACACTTTGCATACCTATCTTTGTCACTGGTCCTTGTAAGTAGTGGAGTCATGTGGATGGAACACCTAGAAATAACTAGATCACAGATAGCCCTTCTCCCCTTATTAGCATTTTCAAACTTCATATCTTAAAAATAAAGTTTTACTGCTTGGAATTTGTCCTTTTTTTAGTGGGAGGAAGGCTTAAAAAAAAAAGAACCAACAGCAACAGAAAACAACCATGATAAATTAAAACCGAAAATAAATATTCTGCACAGAACTGAAAATGACTGTGCAAAGATGGCATCCTGCAGGCGAAGGACTTTCATTGTATCTGCATTTCCATTAGGTCGAGGCACCGGCAAAGAATAAAATTAGTTCTAGTGTTTTCTGGAGCTGTACAAAGCTCCAAAGTCAAAGCTCTCCAGAATACAGAGGAGCGTATACTCAATGGTCTTCTAGATGTTCACCATATATGCGATTCACAATGTGTCATTTTAATAACTCCTACACCACCCCCTAGCCGACGGTAATTCATCCCGCCATATAACCTGCAAAGAAAGAAACAAGATCAGATTTCTAACTGGAAAAAGCACTTTCTTCCATAACTAAGATGTTAATAAAACACGTTTCTATGTTTTATAGCACAAGTAATATTTTTAGCTTTCATACATCTCTTCCAAAGATTAGGGGCTGGAATTGGGCAGTGACAAGTAGAACTATTTCAGACATTGACTGAAATGCTCTCACAGGAGACCTGTAAGAATAAGAGTGTCATATCTACTTTTCACATCATAACTGTACGACTTTACACCTAGACTGACTTCCAGCAATTATACAGAATCGTATATTCTACATTGTGTCTAATTTTGACCCTGGCTATGATATTTTCCCTTTGCCTACAATTCATCAATTTATTTTTATCCTTTTGTATTCTTTAGAAGCCTCCTCAAACCCTTTATGGCACCAAACTGGAGGAGAGTAAATAAAGCCAGCATCTAGTTTGTGACATGTGAAGAACATCATCAAAATTAAGGATTTCCATGAAAAGAATATTAGACCCTCTGCCAGCTGTGAGGTAAAATTGGTTTTAGGTTGGGGATATGTAACTACAAATTTACAGTTCTCTCTCAACAGACAGTTACCTCTCAAAAGATGATCCTTAAGAATTTCATGAATATTAGTTGTTCACATATTAATTCTATTTAGTGACAGTTATTGAGAAACAAGTCCTTATGTGACTAAGTGGCAGAAGTAAATTTGTCTCTTAAATTGTGCTTCAATTCCCACTAAAAAAAGAAAGCTGTATATGGAAGAAAATATGCCACAAGAGGGAGGCTCCGATTCATGAAAATCTGCCATTATTTTCCCCTTACCTCTATTAGGTTTTCCTACAATGTTACCTTTCCAGTGAGGCCTTGCTGGACTCCCCCCCCCCCTTTTGCTATTCCCCAGAGCACTTCCAGCCCCTGGTATGGCACTGTCTCCCTCACTGTAATGTCAGCTCCAGGAGGGCTGGGAACCTTGTTTGTTCACTTTTGGATCTCCAGGGCCAAGAACACCCAGTGAATCTTTACTTAATGAACAAGGTTATGAAAATGTAATGGAGAAGCAAAAAGTGCTACAGTGCCATTAGTCTCACTTTAATATTGTGACCACTGAGCCACACAGAGCCATGAGAGATGCAGAATCCAAAGAAAGTCAGCTAAATATCTGTACAAGTTGTGGCTTTCCCAGAGATGAAGACGATAAAAAGAACTCAGTTGATTCATTATTTGAATCCTGATGAAAAATCTGGGTGGGTGGTTACAGACTCAAAATGAGAAAACGTGTACTTAGAATACAGCAGGAATGAACTGCGAGACTGCCCCTGCCCCGTTTGGAGTAGTGACTGTAACACAGACCTTGGCTTATCTTTCACGGTCATGAGAAAATCTTTCAGATCTCATGTCCAGCCTGACAGCTGGGGTTGATGTGCAACCTCAAACACTGAGATGGTACCCTAGATTTGTTTAGGCAAATAAGCCCAATTTACTGAGAAAGAAACCCCAAATTGCTTGGAAGGTAAAACTGTTCCTTAGAAGGCTAGTATTTAGCATCAGGTATGGATATGAAGTACACCAATCTCATTGATGTTTTGTATTAAGTTTGAGAATTAACTATATATTTAACATTTTAAGAGCTTTTAAGAACTTAAAATG